TCCTCAGAAAAGAGTATTTATGGAATCCAAAAATTGCAGTCTCTGCATCATCCCTGTCATGACGCTTATTTAGCTTGCAAGGGCATTGTCAAAATTTCTTACTGTTGTATATTTTTTGCTTTTGCAGCATCTCTCTCTTTCTGTCTTTTAACATTTTAATTGACCTTCTGGATTTGGTGGTCTCCATTTGTTATGGAATTTTATAGGGCTTTTGTATTCCTGTTGCTGATTCTTAGTTTTTTTTTGAGGTGGAGGTCCACCTCCCACCCTCCACTCTTCCATCGATCATTCATTTACAGTTTTTATGCTGATACACCACTGATTATCTTCCTTCAGCAGACTTTGAGTGTACAATCACCTAAACTTAGAGATCTCATTTTGCATTTCAAAACTTTGGGTACATTTGTACCATCTTCTTAGCTGCTTGCTCTTGGTTTTGTTGCCTGTTCTTGTATACACTTGAATCTCAAATATGATGTTGTTGTGACTGGTTCTTGACAAAATTCAGGTAGGAAATACATTCCTTCTATCGTTTACCAGCCTTTAAGAAAAAGTCATCTGTACGGTGCACTTTGCTGTCATTGTTGACTTCCCTGATAGTCTGTTTAAAAACTACTCCAAAGCCTTTTTAAAATAAAGTGCCAGCAGCCTGGTTCCTGAGGAGAGATCCTTGGAGATCAGGACAGTCCTGGGGGTTTTTGAGTATGAGGATGTTGAGTGATGTGCTAAATTTTGGGAACTAGAGCCTATCTCTGTAGATCTTGGACTCCTTTTTGCCTGTATAAAGTTTGGAGATGCTGGTAAGAGAGACTACACTGTGATCCCTTATGACTGATGGTCTTTGTAAGAAGAGTAGAACAGATTAGTTGTAGAACCAACCTTAGTTTTACATTGTTTTATTTTTCCTCATTTGAAAGGTGTGGAGAAGGGAGAAAAGTTATTTTTCCCTTTCTAAGTTATCTTTTGAATTTTCTGGTTAATCAGTTACAGTGTTGTCTGTGGGCTGATGGTGATGTGGGTACTGGCCTGCTGAGAACGAGGCTAAAAATCTCCTCATGAAAGGTAAAGTATGTGCAGTGTAATATTCCTCATGTTGTTGAGAGCTTGTCTTCATTGATAAAAACACTATGAATAATCCAGGGTTTGTGAGTATCCCTCATGAAATCTTCAGTTTTGGTTAGGTCAAGGAGATTCATCTTCATAGAATTAATAGCATCAGTTGCTCTGAAATATAAAATGTAGTTCTTGTTGCTATGATTTTTTTGTTCCTTCTACTATCAAAAGTATAATGAACTCTTAATGGATAAAAGTGGTTTCTTTCTTTTGGAAGGAGAAGAGAGAGGACAAAATATCCATTTATACTTAGAAAAATTGCTCAGGTCTTCTGAAAAGGCAACAAGTAGTGTCCAAAAAAGCCGAGTAAGTGTGTGTCCCATTGGGTAAATGATGACTGTAGGACCTCCAAGTAAAGGATTTCCAAACAACTTGCACAACAGACACTCAGTACCTTCTCTGCTAGGTATATCAGATAGATCCTTTTTCAGAAAGGAACAGCTAGAGGGAGACCGGAAGACATCTCAGCTGTGGCCCTGGAGAAACTTACGTCAAAAGTCAGAATAAAGCATGATCTCCCCTCCTCTCCTGTTGTTTTGCTGCTGTTCAGCAGCTCATGTGGCTAGCATGTGATTGCAGAGAGGAGGCCAAGAAGCATGTAGCACAGGAATCCAGCCTAGTTCTTCCAAGAATTAAACAGTGGTAAGACAAAGGATCAATTTCCAGAAAGATATTTATAGACCTTATTTGTTAAAGGGTGTAGGGAGCACGTGAGACCTGATCTGTAAGAGGCAATAGGACTTTTCTGTTGAATGGAAAGGAGCTATGTTGAGAGTCTCTTCCTCAAAGGTTGAACCTTTGGGAATGCTATGGAGATAGGAGTGAAGCCCAGAGTGGCTCTGTCCTGGGCTGACCATGCACACCAGAGCCACAGGCCTGCACTTGGCCACAAGCAGAGCAAAATAAATGCACCGCAGAGACAAGCAGGCTTTTGCCCTCTATGAGCTTCTGTGTTTAATACAGTTACTCTTTCTGTGCAGCTACAGACTTGTGCAGAGGAGGGGAGGCATGCAATCTGAGGAGGATCAGAGCTTGAAGCCTCTAAGCCACTTGTAGTTGTGCTCACTGATAGTGGGCAGTGCAGAGGAGGAGAGCTGGTCTGACTTGCTGTGACAAGAGGCTGAGGATAGACTATCTCTGAACAAAGCTGAGCTCTGGCAAGTTTGGTCCTGTGTCAGGGGCTACCTGTGCCGTGTGGGTGTTCGGAAGGTTTATCTTACCTCGTGGTTTAAGTTTTGTCCTGAGGTCTTTCAGTCCAAGCTTGACTTGACAGCACAACTTTCATCTGTCTTCAGTCTGTGTAACTGAGGCTCACATGTTCTCATTCCTGACAGTGCCCTGAACTGGTGGGGCACATCTGTAATCTCTTGGTGGCTATTCCCACTGACTCCCTGCAACGTCCCAGCACCAAGAATAAATTTAGCACAGATATCTGTTGCTGATCCTTAGCCAGGCTAGTCCAGGTCCCAGTGGAGGGCACACTGTTTGATACAGGAGAAGTTTGGCCAGACATGGTTGAAAATTACTTGTTTGTAAGCTAGATAGGGTGTCTGAGGGTAGCAGATATCTCTTTTTGAAACATGAGCATTCTTCATGTCTCAAAAATCCATCAGCTGGATGGAGGAGTAGGAACTTTGTGGAGAGTTTTCTGGGGCTGGATGGCACAAGCTGATTTTCATCTCAGCTGCCAGAGATGCTTCAGCTGCATGGCAACTGAAATGTATTTGGTCTGAGATTTTTATCTGGCCAGTGAGTGAGTCTTCCAAAATAAGGCATTAGAGAAACATGGAGAGATGACAGAGAAAGCATGGAGAAAGCACAAGGAGGTTTCACTAGAAGGCAGCCTGGGCAACATGTCTGAGCTCATGCCTGGGTTACGGGGCTCTTGGGACATCTGATCTGTGTAGCTGATGTGCTTCGATGTGGTTTATGGGCAGCATAGTACTCGCCTTTCTTAGTCCTTGCTTTCTATACCTGTAAGGTAATGGACCCTTTCCAATGACTGTGAATAAATTGAGCACTGCAGAATCCTTCTTTAGGGCAGCAGTTGCCTGGTGGGGCTGTGTTGTTGCTGTTAAGTTGGCTGTGAGGCATAAACAGTATCCTCTCCAGTCCGTTGCTCTGGAACAATGAGTCATGGTCATGTTAATTGATTCCTATCGATCTAATTTTACCCATAAGGAAACACTAAATGCAGTGGACTTTTGACTATATCCTCATTTACTCTTAGTGTGATGAGTTCACTGGCTTTATAGAGGTTGTATTGGTGTAGCATGAATAACCACTGTTTTTTTATGCTGCTAGTCAGTCTTGGTTCAGTTAGCAGTACTCTGGTACTGTTAGTGATTTCCTACCTCCTGGCAAATATTGTAGCCTGCAACAGAGATTGGAAATCTCTGTTTCAAGCAAGAATGAGAATGGCTGCATGGCCACCTGGTATCTCTCTTTCTTGGGTGCCTTCTCAGTCATTCCAATTATTGGATGCTCTTGTGTGTGCCTGGTCACTGTCCCCCACAGCAAATACAGGCCTAAATCAGGCCTATGTTGCTAAGTGAGGGTGTTGCTAAACAACAAAAAAATGTTTTTTTCCCCAAACATGGGTGAGTGTGCAGAGCCTTGAGAGCAAGCAAGAGCTGAGTTTTAGCATGCCTCTTTTTCAGATGACCAAGATGCGTGCAAATGCTTGGGAAGAGTCAGGGGAACAGGTAAATACACAGTCCTTTGAAACCAAATGGTGATTGAAACACAGGCACAAACAGTGTAACTCAAGGAGTGGGGGGAAAATGGCTTTTGTAGGTTCCTCTGCAGTTTAGAGTACTCTTGAATATGCTGAGTGCACTTTGGCTCCCACTTTATGATGAGAAGAGTGTGCTCCTAGGCACTAAAGCAGTGATTTCTTCTCTCTTCCATTTGAGGGTGGCAATGAAGGTCTGTGCCACTGTCAATCGCTCTTATTGCAATGTGTGTGGCAAAGCCTGTGGTGCTACATCACTTTGTTGCTGAATTGGAGAAACAGCTGTGGAGTTAAAAGGCCTAATGTCTCCACCAGGCTGCATGCTGCCACTGCAGGAGCTTCTCAGCTGGACATATGGGGGGCTTTTGGCACAGTAGAGACTGTAGCTGCAGAGGTTTCTTCTTGTAGTGCTTCAGAGCATTTTACCAGGGGCAGTTGCCAAGCCCCATCATGAAAGCAACCTCAGTGTATAGGATATGTGCTGTCAGCACTTCCTTTGCTTTCAACCTTGATGTTTTTCTAGGTTCTCCTGGTGGTCATAGGGTGAGTCTTGTCTTGGGAGGGTGCTCATTTGTAACAGTGTCATACAGTGACTGAGCAAGATTAATATCTCACTTATTAAAAGTGGACAGGTTTCTCTGTTGGCCCTTTCTCCTTGCACTTGTCTGGTTGGAAAATAATTTATTTCAACTCATTAACCCGGTAAAAATTGTGGTGGGTTTTGATGGTCTTGTTTTCTGCCATTTTTAATGAGCAAAATTGGATTACCGGGTAAAGTGGCCATCATCAGAGCAGGTGCAAGGTAAGGCAGTGGGATGTGTGTGTGGACAGGAACATACATGCATGGGAGAGATCAAGGGAAGCCAGACCTCCATTTCAATGGAGGCAAGTATTCATTCTGCTCAATTCTGCTGTAAAACCTTGCCTTGAATATCCTGACTGTTGTAAGTGCAATGGGGGAACCTTTCTTATGGCCTAATTGCAAGGGGTAGCTGCCTTTGTCTCTTAATTTTTGGGTAGTAAAGAAGGTTTTCATCTTGGTTGTGAAATTGGATTAGGCTCAGTTGAGCCTTTACTGAGGTGTAGGGTGGTGGCAGTATTGTGGTTTCATGTCATGCCTCTGTTTATCCTCTCTCTCTCTTCTCTTGCTCAGCTTGGCATCGCTGTGGGCTTTCTAGTTCCTCCAGTTCTGATTCCTAATGTGGAGGATGTGGAGAAGCTGGCCTACCACATCAGCATCATGTTCTTCATGACAGCAGGTGTGGCATCAGCCCTGTTCATCCTGGTCATCCTAGGTAAGGAGGTGGGAGCATGCACAGGAAACCAGGTGGGACTGAGAAGATCAGCCTATGTGTGTGTGGGGGCTGTGTGCCGGGAAATGGGTGGGGAAGGTCATCTGGTGAGTAAGCATGCAGCTGTCAGGGTCATGCAATTCCCTGTCTTGTTACTTCAAGTCCTTGATGAACTGCACATGTGGAGGGGAGTATAAGAGATTGTCAGTGAGCCTGCCAAATTGTTAATTTCATCCTTTGCCTGCTTAATAAAACCCTGGCATGAGTAAGTCCTTTAAAAGCCAACAGAAGTCTTTTAAGTTTCACAGTCATCTTCCCTGCAAACAGAGTGCTGGGCCTTGGACTTGATGACCCCTTCAGGATAGAGAGAAAGAGGCAGGTTATATGGCATCACAGGAACAAGCTGTTCCTAAGAGAAAAAAAGGTAACTAGTTATGAGTGGACAGAAGGAAGCACTGAGGGCAGCAAGAGGACACTAGAGGTGCAATTCTCCTACTTCATGCTTAATCCAGGAAGTAGAAGCCAGATCTTTAGCATGAAAGACTGACATGCTCACTGGAAAGCAGACTTTGTCTACTGAACTCCATGGAATTTTTTGGATATGCTCCTCTTGCCAATTTGTTCACGTTGCTGGTGGCAGAATCAGATGTAGACTTCAAAGAATCTGGAGCAGGGAATAGGCAAGGTACAAAAATGGCTGTCTGGCACCTGACACAGCAGAATTGCCAGTGTCTGTCAATTCTGGACACTAATGCTAGTAAGGGACAGCAGATGGCTTGACCAGCCTAAAAAGTGCCAGGCCTGAAATAAAACCTGGCATAGGTCATTGCTCACCAGGCACTGGACACTTCACAGGCTATGTGTTTTGTACACTTGGTTTTGCTAGTCTCTTTGCCATCCCTCAAATGGCTCTACCCACAGTGTGCACTCAGGCCCCCCGATGACACCATTACAAACAAGTATACTTTTTGTCTGGTTTCAGTCTTCAAGGAGAAGCCCCCAAACCCTCCAAGCCGAGCTCAGGCCTCGATCCAGTCAAGACCAACAGCAGAATATTCCTACGTGCAATCAATCCTCCGTCTGCTCCGCAATGCCAACTTTTTGCTGCTTATGGTCACTTACGGTAAGGTCTGGCCTTTCTCCTTTTTGTAGTTATCACTCCTTCTCTCTCCCTCTCTGTGCTCTGCTGGAGCAGTAACTGGCCTGAGTTGTTTTAGGGGAGCATGAAGATAGCTGTCCTGCCACAGACTAGGAATCCTTATAGCTCACTGTCAGCAGTAGTTACAAGCAATGCCTAGAGAAGAATACAAGCAAAGAAGTACACAGAGGACAAAATACTTCCACTACTGTTCTCCCAGTCTTTGACCGCTTTTGTTCAGGGGATTTCCTTATCCTGTTCTTTTTTCCCTAACCTGTTCTTTTTTCCTAGTCATTTAGTTACTTGCAATGAGCCAATCTAAGTGCTTACCTGAGAAATATATTGAAGTGTCTAAGTGCACGTCACAGCACTGAGTGAAAGTCATTTCCCAAGGCAAGGTTATGACTGCCAGGCATCCCAGTAGAGGTCATGTGGACTGTGCAGATGTGCAGACTTCATCAGTTTCCTAGGCAGTCCCTATGAAACAAATGGAAGGAAAGGCTGGAGACCATCTTCTTATGCCATCTGTCCTTGCACTCTGAATTTGCTGCTCGCTTCTCTTTAGCAGTCTCGGTCTGTTTCTCTGAGGGCAATGTGCTGTGTTGAATCTACTCCCTGATGCTGAACTGGCATAAAGAACAGTATTTTTCTCTTTAGCAGAAAGGCCATTGTAGTCTGTGCCTGGCTGCATAATAAGTTATACTGTAGCCAGCTAGCCTGCAGGGAGTTGTGTCCTTACTCTTTCTACCATCTTGCTATGGAAGCTCCTCAGGTTGAAGGTTAAATATTGCTGAAAGTTCTACCATTATGCCAGCAACTGTATCTGAAGGACCTGGCGGATGAGTAACCAGGTTGGAGAGAAAGAGATATTGGCTTTGAACCTCCTGAAGGTGCTAATGATCTTTGGCGTTGTTGAATTCTATGCTTCCTTCTTTCTCAGTGCAATAGACTTTTAGAAATGCCCCTCTCAGATTGCTCTTAAACTCTACTGGTTTGCATTGCAGCTGCTTGTTTTGGCTTTTTTTTTTCCCCATAGCACATAATGCCCTCTCAGAAAGTGAAGACAGAAAAAAACTGTCAGGCAGAGTATGTCTAAAGTTGGATTGTGTCGTTTGCTCAGTACACAGTTATCCCTCAGGGAAAGGGAAGGTGAAAGCATTTATTTTAATAGGCATAAACAAGTCCTAGAGGAAAGAGAAGGGGTCTCAGTATGGAAGAGCATGTTTAGAATCTGATCTTCCTGGATAATTCCCTTCCAGCAGTCAGAAACAATGTGGAAAAGCTGTTTCAGTGGCTCATAATTTATTTTTTGTTCCTGCTGGTCTGTGCATTTATTTTGTTTCTCTCTGTGTCAGTGTCATGTCAATCTACAGCTTGACTTGAGATGGTGACTGTTACTCAGAGAGGGAACTATGCAGTGGAACTTTTTTTAAAACTTCTCTGGCTTTAAAATGGGGACAGTTTTTCCTACTAAAGTCAAAAGTTATGTTGGCCAAGATTTAAGACGTCTGCAGCCACATGAGTACAACTGAGTCATCCTGCTTAGCTAACAACAAAGATACCTGCAACCTCTCAGCTTTTGTGTTATCACAGTGCATGCCAGGAGAGCGAGGGGGAAACCTGCTGCTTTTTCATTTCCCCTGGCTGTAGAGAGAACGGGGATCCTTCCATGATGCCAGGTCAGAACAGGTCTGCAGACCTCTAAGAGCTTGATATTACTAGCAGCCATCAATTCCTTTCGTGCCGTAAGACCTGCAGTGCTGGCAACACTGGCGGCACTGCTTCTATGTCAGTACTAGTGAACTGTTTTTGAGGAAAACCCTTAGACAGCCTTTTCCCCAAGGCTGCTGACATTGCTTCCATGAAGCTGAGGCATAACATGGAATGGACATTAAGAAATGTCTGAGTTTATTGAATTGGGCTCTGCATTGGAGAACATGTTGCTACTGGGAGGCAGTAGGCAGGAAAGGGTGGGAAAGTCTGGGAAAGGCTGGTAAAGTGAGAATGATGAGACGGTCTCAAAGCATCAGGGTTTGGAAAGGTGGTGGGGCAGTGAGGAGGAGGCAGGGCAGCAAGATCTGCATAAGGAACCGTTGTCCTGGAGGCTTACATGGGTGAAGATAAGAAACCAGGAGCCTGGCATGTAAGCAATAGGCTGCTTACCTACGGAAGACCTGGGTTCTAATCTGAGGCTTAATAAGGGCTCCTTTTGGAGCCATAGGCAATAAACTTCCCTGTTTTGGCCTATATAAAATAGAGGAGACACTGTGAGGTCTCAAAAATGCTCTTCTACAGCACGTTACAAGCAAACCATGGTAACTAATGAATCAGCTGGGGCTGGACCTTCAGATGTCCTGCTTCCAGCTACTAGTTCTGATTTTCCTCATCTGCATGGGCAAATGACCACTGCCTTGTTGGAAACAACCGTTGCCTGTTTTATGGGCATTCAAACAGCTGTAATTCTCAGTGAAACTTCACTGAGCAACTGTGACATACAAAGCGCCTACAACTTTTGCCAACCCTCGCATATGCAAATTTGGCACAATGTCTTGATTCTTAGAATATTTTGTCTGACTATGGTGCCAAGTGTTGCTGCCAACTCTGCATTACTTTCTGCCCAGCTTGGAAGCAGGGGCCCTTCTCAGTCTTGTAAATCATATGCATCACAGAGCTGCTGTGAAGCTTTTGTACTGACAGCATCAACTACTAGAGCAGCATCTGGCTATTTTCACAAGGCTACTGTCCTCTTGGCTGGGTGAGAAGTAGAGGTACACAAATGACTGGTCTATGTTCATGCCCAGCTTTGAAGTGAAGCAGCAAAGGGACTGTGCTGATTTGCCACACTCCCATGTCCTGGCACTGTAGTTTGTGATGTCTCCTAGTGAGTGGGGTGATCCAGAGGTGGAGATAGGATGAAGCTGAATTAGGGTCTCTAGAACTGTTTGCTATGGCAAAGTGTTCAAAAAGACAGCTTTCAAGGGTAGAGGGCGCCTCCTTGCTGTGAGATCTCCAACTGTTCTCCCCCATCTCTGGCTGCTGGCTCTGCTGGAGTTTCCAGCCTTCTCGAGTAACCCTTGGAAAGCATTGGGTAGATTCCTCCTGCCTGAAGAGCATATCATTCAACTTACTAGCCTCTCCTGTAACCTTCTGTCACATGGTTTTGGAGCAGAAAGCATTGTCACAGACAGTTGGCTTATTTAGGATCGCTTGAAGGAGAGTCTTCAGCTATTGTGTGTGCCATGAAGCTGTGGAGTGACCTTTGCTTAATCATAGGATGGTTTGGGTTGGAAGGGACCTTAATGGTCATTTAGTTCTAACCCCCATGCTGTGAGCAGGGACACCTTCCACTAGACTGAGTTGCTCAGAGCCATGTCTAGTATGGCCTTGAACACTTCCAGGTATGGGGCATCCACAACTTCTCTGGGCAACCTGTTCCAGTGCCTTACCACCCTCACAGTAAATTGTAATGTTGTCAGAGATGGTGTGTGAAGGAAGTGTGGTGTCCCCTCCAGCTGCCAATCTTGTGGCTCCTCATAGTGCTCCATGAGCTGTGCAGTGCAACGGGTATTCAGTGTTCAGTGAAAGACTGGGCTAGGCACAGGATTGCTGAGTACTTAAGGATCAGGGGAGCTAGAGGACTTCAGGGTTAGGGGAGCTCAGGAGTTTGTTCCCTGTGTCAAAGCTCTGCCTGCTAGACTCCACTTCTGTATCATTATTGTGAGTTTCTGCTTTTAGCAGAGGCTGAAAGAGGAAAAGTAGGAAGTGGGAACTTGACACATATCTGTTCTGTCAGGATTTCAGGCATCTATGCCAGATTTTTTAAAACCGTGCCTCCTTATGGAGCCTATAGATGTGTGAGCTACAGTGGTGAAATCTGTGTCCCCATCCCACCCCCCTACTTCAGGATCACTGAAGCCTTGAAGAGAAACTAACTGCAAATGTAAATGACTTTCTGAGAAGAAAGTTATGCTGACTGTTACAGACCTCATCCACCTGGTGAAGGTTTCTCAGTATCACCCAAGGTGAGAGTGTAACCATTGCAGTACTGCTGGTTCAGTGCACATGTGTATGTTCTTGCCTACTCTAAGCAAAGCTCTTGGATTTTGCACCCTTTTGAGAAGGTATTTAACCAAAGAGAGTTGCCTACAAGCTGGAGCAGTGTGTCTGAACGGGGCTTGACCAGTATCACCCCAAGAGTTTCATTCTCTCCTTGGGTGATACTGAGAAACCTTCACCAGCTGGCCGATGCCTGTAACAGTTAATCTAACTTCCCTTTCAGAAATAAAATTACTTTCACAGTTAGTTTTTTTTAGGCCTCAGTGATATCTTTTAAAATGCAAGATTTTCCCATGCAGACATACACATACCAGGTGCCTGGGGGTAGTGCTGTCTGTGCTTCACCATCAGCTCTGCTTCTGCTTGCCTTCTGGTGTTACTTGGCTTAGAGAGAATATTTTTTTACTGGCTGTCAGCAGGGAGAATGCTATCAGGCTCTTCTCTAGAAGGAAAACTCACAGGTCAATGACGCTGTTGTTAATTGAATCCCAGGTCTTTGTTAAAGGTGTGATGCTGAGGCAGGTGCTTTTCTAGTATTCTGACTTGGCTAGGAGGGAAGGAGAAAACTCCAATGGTAAAGATGGATCTGGATGTGAGGGAGGGTTGAGAACCCGTGAGGGCATAGCAAGACCTTCCACTAACAGAATGTGCACAGCCCTTCCTCTAGCTGCTAAAGTAAGAACCATCCTGAAACTGCAGGGTGCTTCCTCCTGCATGCTGAGGCCTGAATGTCTGTATTTATTTTTATGTCTATCCAGTCTGGCTGAGTCTCCTGAGACTCTGCAGCCTTGTACTGGATCAATGCTTCCAAAATTCCTCTCTCTGCATTTCTACCCTTTCACAACCCAGCAGGAGAGTAGCAGGCTCTGAATGTACTGCATTTTTATCCCCCTCTTAGGTCTGAATGTAGGTTGTTTCTACGCCCTGTCCACTCTGCTGAACCGCATGGTGATCCATCACTACCCAGTAAGTGTATCCAACCCTCACGGCCCTCTGATGCTTGCTGTTGTCTAGCACTAGCTGCCAAAGGAGAGCCTGTGAGAAATGCAATGTCACAGCACTTCTGGCTGGCTCTGGCACACATTGGCTGAAAGGGAGCGTTGATTCCTTTTTCTCTTTACACCACCCCATGCAAAAGCTGGTGAGCTCTAGCAAAGACAGCTCGTGAGCTCTAGGAAAGGCAACTCCTTTAGACCCTGAATGAAAATGTTTACTACTGAGAAAATCTTCCAGCAATTGACTTTGTTCCTGACTATGATTTCTGCTAGGAGATCTGTTCCAGGAGGCTGCCCACACTGGTGCTCTGGTGGAGTGAAGTGCTTTAGTACCTGAGCTACTGTAGAGCTTACTGCTGGAGCTGCATGCCAGAGAACTCCTTTCTGTGCTGCCTTATAGTGGGTCCCAATATTTCCTAGTCAATCTGGCTCAAATCCTAACACCAGAGAGCAAGCTTCATAGAGTTTATGCTGACTCCTCTGAGAGTATCTGTTCATGCTGACCAGTGCACACTTTTTTCTCTGGGTGGCTCAGAGAGAAGTGCCAAACCACTTTTCACACTGGACCAGAATGCAGTGGCTCATAGTGGGCCCAAAAGTGTTCTTGCAAAGGCTAGTTCCAGTTAGTGTGTAACCAGCAGAAAATATGTATGGAGGCTAACTTCGGTGTCTCTTCCTCTCTGGATTTTCTGATCTTTGCTTTTTGTCGGCTATGACTTAGCACCTGCATTTGTGTGAGTGTGTGTGTGTGTCTCACCACAGGGGGAGGAGGTGAATGCTGGCAGGATTGGACTCACCATTGTACTGTCAGGGATGGTTGGGGCTCTGATCTCCGGCATCTGGTTGGACAGAACCAAAACCTACAAGTAAGTCCCTTGTTTGCCTCTGTGTCCCTGGTGACTGTGCTCTTCCCCCATACTATGTGAGTCTGGGGGCTCAATCATTGGGAGGATTTGTAGGGAAAAATATGGTTCTTCAAAATCCAGTTAGTCTAAAGTGAAGTTTGGAGCTGTGTGTTAGTCTCTACTGGGCCCATACGAGTTCTGGTTTCAGTGGCCCTAGGCAGGCATAGGGAGAGGATGAGGTGGCCCAGCAGCTGCTTTGTCAGGGATGAGAGAGTTCTTGGCACAAGCAGAATCAAGACAGTACCAGACCATTTCTCAGCCTTTACAAACCAGCTTCTGTGAATCTTTGTCCAGCTTAATAAAAGGCACATTGAATCCAGTGCCCAGAGGCATTGTGTGAGGGTGCGTTGCTGTATTTAGGGCAGGCTAAGGGTTATTGGGATTGCTGGTGGATTATTCTGAGTTTGCTGCCTGGCGGGTTGGGAAGGCAGGTCTGGCCAGCATACCCTGCCACCTGCAAAGGGACGGTTAAGTCTTTGCTTATCCTGCAGCTCCCAGTCCTCAGGCACTCAGATGTCATTGACGGACCTCTGTAGTCAATGAGACTACATTGATGGGGGATGTAGAGAGCCTCCTGTGTCTTATACTGGGGTCCCTATAATCAGCTTTTTGGTTTCCCTGCTGGCTTTGAGAACTGTGCTATAACCTATTGTCTGAGCAGGTTGGTGGGACAGGGCTTTACTGGTGATTTGCTGGTGATGAGCTGAAGGCAGTTTTGGGGTTCTTTTCTTTGCAGCAGCTTTTCATCTGGGTGAGTCCTACTGCCATTATCCTACCTGGTATCTTGGGCCAGAAAGGTATATTCTCATGGTAGACAGCTTAGATTAATCTGGCTAGCTGTGGGCTTGCAACTTCTGAAGTGGCCTCTGGCCCTAGCTGTAAAGTACAGGGATCAAAAATAGAGAGAAAATTGGCTTCTCTAATAAGAATGAATGGTAGGTGAGGACTCCTGGGTGATAGGAAAGAGGGCTAGATGACTAATACAGAGACTGGTAGGTCATTTGTTGCTGTTTCTAGATGGTTGTGTGGCACTGAGTTCTCATTTGGCAGTCCTGGAAAATAGAAACACAACTGTTAGAACTCTCAGAACTGCACTAGCTAACCATTCAATGTAACTTGTGTCTCTTTCCAGCCCAGGGCTAGTGGTAAGGTAGCCTCAACTGGGACTGCTAGACTGGATGATCTTCCTGATTCTCCATAAGTGAGGCTAGGTTGTGGCACAGAAGCTTGAAGAGCTTTGTTGCTCACCAGGCAGAGCTGGGACTTGAAATTTGGCAGAATGGGAGAGGGGAAAAAAACACAAATCCTGTATTTGTTCCACGTCCCCTGCTTCCATGGAGGGACCACGTAAATAGGCAGAGCTGGCTAACAGTGCAGAAAAATAGGACTATGAGAATTTATCCTACAGATCCCAGGGACTCTCTGGGGATAGATTTAACCTTAGGTGAAGAAAAACACTGCTAAGAATTTGTTCTCCATTGCAGACCACGAAATGGAATTCTGTGAAACTAGCACATTTTTTTTTCAGAGTGCTACAGAGTCTTTATTTAGCCCCATTTAAACGTCTATTTAAAAAAACTGTCAAGATGCCAGATGTTCTAGGTAGGTACCCTCCCCCTTCCCTCCATTGCTGAGATAGTGTCAAGAATGAAGTGGTAAGCACATGAAAATCAGGAAGGAGAGATATCAAGTCCTTTTTTTAGTCAGCTTGGAGAGAGAGGGAAGCAAATGAATGGGATCCAGCTGTGATTGAGGGGAGCAAGGGAAGGTTAATAACAGAAGGAATTGCAGAGCTCTACATGTGTGTTTGATCTTTACTGTACCATCAGCAGTTCCTTGAAAGGGTGAAGCTGTGCTAAGTCAGGCTTTCTCCATCTGTCATGCTTGAGCATCAAATGGCCTTTCATTCTTGCTCTTATTTGGCAGGCAAATCCCTGCAGCAGCCCCTGCTCCATTCTTGCTTTTGGAATTAGCAGGCGCAAATTTGGTCAATAAAAATAAATACATGAGTTACATAGTGATGAGCAAGCAGTGCCAGAACTAGGGTTGTCTCTGGTGGTGTGGCTTGTTGAGAGCAGCCCAGCTCTTCAAATGAACACATTTTAGAATCATTGAATCATTTATGAAAAGACTTTTAAAGTTTTGACATAAAGTTAAATGGGGCTCCTTGTGCATCCTTCAGGTTCCTGTCTCAGAGGAGGGATGGGGTTGTGACACCTGGAGACTGCTGGGTGTATTGCTATTTGTAGGGGAGTCTGGCTCAGAATGAGGTATTTGGGGACTGAATTAATCATCACTGCTCTTTGGCCATGCTTTGGTTTCAAGTGCAGTGTTCCCATGGCCTCACATCCAGCTGGTTGCAGTCAGCACTCTCCACTTTCATTACTGCATCTCTCTAAGTCAAGACATCAGAAATATCCGTCTCTCTCCACTGACTAGGCAGAGGACCCCAAGCGATGTTTTGAACTTAGGTCTGTATAGGTCCAAAGTGCATTAAAATTTGGGAGAGGAGGAAAGACTTGGATAATGGAGAATGGGGTGCTTGGATCTCTTCCACTGAAAGGTGAATGATCTCTCTCAGCCTAGACTGACTAGAAATTTGGGCCACCTTGTTGTAGCCCTTTCCCAGGTTAGTCCTTATGTTGTGCTAATGTCTTTGCCCTGTCCTTTCATATATTTTATATAAACAATTTACCAAGGCTATCCTTTTTTATGACCTTTATACAGGAAGAAAGTGGCATAAAACCAAGTGTCAAAGGATGAGGGGGTGGTGAAGATGAAACCAGCCTTCTCCAATTCATCTCTTCTCTGGTGTCTGACACCTCAGTGGCTTCAGCAATGGGATTCTTCTGGGAGCATAGGGACAAAGCCTTTGTTCAGGGTTTTGCACAGCCTGTAATGTGCTGTCCTCATGGCAAAGCCTGTGGAGGCCATCTATCATCCCAGTCAACAGTAGAGCATTCTGGAGCTGCACACAACATCCCAGAGAGCAGCTGTTGCACGTGGCTGTGCCCCTACCCCCTCCCTCCCCCACTTGTTCATTTGTTGCTTCAGATGTTGCTTGACTCGTGTTTTCACAGCTGCAGTCTGGTCCTGTCACTTTGGCTTTCCTTGTCCAAATGACCTTCTGAGACAAGGCTGGGCTGGGCCATGCCTGTTCCTTATTCTGAGGCTTCCTCTGGAGTTGATTGAACAGCGGGAGTTGTGTTCTTCATTTCAGTCCTGTTCCCTGCTCATGCTGGCCCTGTCTGGCTTTTTTCTTCCAAGGTCTCTCTTTTCTCACAGTCCCTTGCGTGAGCTCTTTAATTTGCCTCTTCAGAAGGGTAGGGAATGTGAGTGGGAGGGCAGATGAGTGTCAGGGCAGGTTAGGTTCATTTAAGTGACAAGCATGTTGGCTCCTTCACAGATCTTCCTCTGACTGTGCCACTGAGACTTGGCACCAGTGCCTTTGGAGCAATGCTTCCACATGGATGCATGGGGCTTCATTCCCAAACCCCAGGGTACAGAGTTGGGTTAACTCCAGCTTTCCTAAGGTGATGTAGCAGGATGCCTAACCTCCTAACTTATACACACTGCACTAGGCAGCCTGGTAAGTAGACTATCAGTTTTCCGGAGTCCCTATAAAACCATCCAGAGTCCCTATGAAACCATCATGGGAACAGGTTGCTAAAAACAGCAGATTGCAGTGCCAATGCCCTCTGTGAATCTGCTTCTCCTTTGTGCTTTTCTCCCTCTCGTAAGATTTATGGCTATGATAAGAGGCTTATTAAGCTAAACTGGGCATTCTTTCCATGTCCTAGTGCCCCCAGGGTCACAGAGCATTCTTGTCATCTAGCATATGTGGTGACAAAGGCCATTTCCTGAGTAACACCCTGCCCCACTGTCTTTCCCCAGCGGTTTCTTTGTTTTCCTATGCACCAGTGTCTACCAGTATTTCAGTTAAACCCTCTTAAAATTTTTGTGTCTAGCTTGGACTGTTGAGTACTAAATCTCCTTTTTTGTCATCAGTGGTATGCTCGGGGGAGCAAGGTCTTGCTAAAGTCTGGTCTAGCAGAAGTCTGCTTATGTGCTTGAGACTGTTTCCTGTGGCAGGAGTTGCTTCCAGGGCTGTCTGTTCAGCTCCCGTGGGAGACTGTGGTGAGCAGGCAGAGCTCAGGCGAGTGGCCCCAGGGCACTTCCTGGTCTGCGATTCCCACAGCACTCAAACCTGTGGTCTTATTTTTTCACAAGGGTCTGTTGATACATTTTATCCTTCTGCAGTCCTAATGATTTAGTGAGGTCAGCAAGGAAAACTCTAGTCCCCTAGATCCAGCTAAAGTGCATTAGCTGAGGTACCCATGGCAAGATCAGTTTGCTCTGTTGTGCCCCCCGTTTACTTCTGCAGTTTCAGTGGAGAACACCTTCAAGAGCTGTCTGCTTCTGTGAGCCTGCCTGCTCTAGTTCTCAGTGGTGCACTGCATGTTCTGGGAACTTCTTTCTTGCACCTTGACTAACGACATAGCATCAATGTGAAACAAAGTCCCAACCACATCTGGTCACTATCGTGTTCATCACCTTTGCTTGGAGATGAGGGGCCAAGTGCAACTTTTGGCAACTGTCATGACAGAATCAGATACAAATCACGCGGAATACTTGAATCATAAGCTTAGGAAACTGAGTGAGACTTTGTGTGACTCCTAAGACCTCTGCACTGAGCCAAAAACGGGCCGTGGGGAGAAAAAAAAAGCCAACAAAACCCAGCTGAGTGTCACTGCTGGCAACGACTAAACTTCTTAGGGTCACAGCCACCTCTTGGAGGCCTGTATTTTAGCACTGCTGTGTCTTTTACTACTGCTATGGTCTGGGTAGCCCAAGCACAGAGCTCTACTTCTAGCTTTGAGGTCCTTTCCTAATCACCTCTTTTCTCCACGGCTGCTTGTTAAGGCTTGGGAGACATAAGAACTCATGGGAGATATCTGAGGAACCTGTATTGAGCAGAAAAAGGCTTTTACTTGTATCTCTTTGACTTTCTGGGGCTGTTCTTTAATTGCCCAGTCAATCTTTTAGCTCTTCTTCTGCAGCCTCCAGGCTGTGTGCCAGCCATGTAGCAGCTCTCTGCAGTGAATTATAACAGAAGTAAGCCATCCCTTTATACTACCTTCACAGATGACTTTTTTCCTCTGTGAAAACATTGGAAAGAACATATTCTGGAGGTTAAGGGATTTAACTACTCCTTTGGTACACAACAAAATTACTTGTCACAGCAAAATGTTTAGTCTTTCAATACAATAAATGTGTCTGGTGAACCTTTGTAAGGATGGATCAATAGCTGAAGCCTGAAATTAGCTTCTAAAGTCTGTATTTGGATAAGAATTGACATATGGGTGTGACCCCACTGACTGCAGTCATTGCAGCAGTCAGGGAGAACAGAACCTTAGCTAGAATAGTCTGGATTTATCTCTAGTAATCAGGTGTACTGGAAGCATTTTGTTACACATTTTATAATACTGGCTACCCACTTGGAGTTGGATTTTTGGCAGTGGTCATTTGCATTAAAAAGGAAAAGTGAAAATAGTTTGAGTTTTAGTTTCTTCAGTAGAATTCTAGGAACTGGTATAAAACACATTCTTTAATGGATTAAGACTAAAATTTGGTAGAAAGTACACAAGCAGCTCATGGCTATACCTTTAACTTCTTCCTAAAAGACGATGGCAAAAAGGTTTTATTAACTCTGATAACTGCTTGACTATCAAAATCCTGGTGGAATTTCAGTCAGGTAAGGGATTCTCCTTTCCCTCCTAAAAACTATGTACTCCGAAGAGCTACTAGCTGCTTCTTGTACTAGAAAGAGCCTTGGTCTTTTTGATGTGGTAAGGGTTTCCTTGGTGTCTAGTCAGGGAGGACAATTGCTAAACGTTTTGGATCTTGTAAGGCTAGCCTGGACTGCTGCGTGTGTCTCACAGTACTGAGTCCACTGATGATCCTCGCGTGTCCTGGCTGTAGGTTTGGCTGTTCCCAGGATCTGCCTGGCATGCTTCCTGAGCACAAGGTCTCTTTGTCTCCTCTGCACAGGGACAAGAGCTTGTGGCTCAGCCGCAGTTGGCTGTGGAACTAGCACTATCCCATGGCTCCAGGGTGAGGCTGTGAGGGCAACCTGGCTTGCACGTCACCCTCCAAATACAGCAGGCAGTTTAAACAACAGAAAGAAGCAGCAACGAAGCTGTTTTGGACAGCACTGAAAAATACATGCCCATAAGACTGTAGCAGCGTTGACACCTCTTTCCTTTGCTTTTCCTGCTTGAGAGTGCTCCATCTCCTTAGCTCCTGCATGTTTAACTGGTTGTAGTACAAGGGGTGCCCGTGAAAGATTAGTGATTTGTTTTATTTGGCTTTTGTTCTCCCTGCCAAGTGGCATGTACAGTACATGATGAAGCACCTGTCAGTCCATGGTAGGATTTTCCTTCTTCTGCTCTACTGTGTACACAGGTCCTTCCATGCTCTCTGTCAGTCCAGTACCTCTGTCTCTGGTAGGAGTGGCAAGAGAGCTGTACAACTTCTTTTAAATTTTTTTTTAACCATGTGCTACAAGCTGTACCAAGATTTGCGGGCAACAAGGAGGACTGGATTAAATAAAAATCTGACTGGTTTTTCTTGCAGACAGACAACACTAGTCGTCTATATCATGTCTCTGGTGGGAATGATAATCTACACCTTCACTCTGAGCCTAGGCCATCTCTGGGTGGTCTTTGTGACTGCTGGCATGCTGGGGTAAGTTCATGTGCAAGCTGCTTTCCTCAACACACTAGAGGATGAGTAGGGAGGCCAAGATTGTGGTGTGTGAGGGACTGGGGAGAGATGTAGCATGTGCATGGCTCCTGCATGGTTTAAGGAAAAAATTATCTGCTCTTTCCATCTCTCACTTGTATGTGTTTCATTCGAGTCAGGGACCCTATTGTGACCCTGCTCAGCTGCCTTAATTGTTCCAGGCAATCAAGTGGAAACATTTGGAAAACCAGGGATACTGCAGCCCAATAGATGACCAAGGGACAAGAATGAAAAGCATGTTGGCCAAAGTGGCTGTTTGACCGTGCTGGGGGTGATGCACCTTAGAGCTCTGCCTCTTCAGTCTTCCTTCTGGCAGTTGCTGAGTCTTCCTTTCTATGTACTTCTTTACAGGTTTTTCATGACAGGATACCTTCCACTGGGCTTTGAGTTTGCTGCAGAGTTGACGTACCCAGAATCAGAAGGAACATCATCAGGGCTCCTTAATGTCTCAGCACAGGTAGGTGTGCTGTCTTCCCTTTGCTTGCCCCTTTTTAGGCAGAGATTAAATTGTAGTTCCAAGCCTTGACTTCTGTTTCTTGTCCATTTTTATGTAATGTGCTGTAGGTCTAAGCACCCCAAAACCTGGCTTTTTGATTTATGTTCCTCATAGCGTTTCTGTAGTGGCAAACAGAAACATTCTGTTTCTGTTTAAGAAAATCCATCAGGATGCCAGTCACCCTTGCCTTTTCCAACATTGCTCCTAGCAGCCTAGGACCTTGCTCTTCTCCAGTGAGAGGTGGGATTCCAATCTTAAGGGTCATTTGTCATCCCATCAGCTGCCTCAGGAGGTGCCTCTGGATGTGTTTATAACCAAACTTTAGCCTCACTAGGGCAACTATTTGGCTGGTCTGTATGCTCTGATACTTTGGTAAAGCTGGGAAGCTGTTTGGGCTACTTTATAATAACGGTACAGCTCGACACTGGCTTTGTTTGTTTGTAGATTTTTGGTATTGCCTTCACCATTGGCCAAGGGCAAATCATGGATCACTTTGGAACGAAGGCAGGAAACCTCTTTCTTTGTTCCTTCCTGTTGCTGGGGACCATTATGACAGGTAATTAGAATTTTCAGTGTTCTTCTGCTTTGACTTTTCCCCTTGGGCTTGGCATATGAGTTGAAGGTCTTTTGTGTGCCATGGTGTCTGCAGGAAAGGGCAGAACCCACATAGCAGTCCTGTAGCAATGCTGTTGTTCTTCTTTAAGCATTTAGTCTGTGTTACAAAGAAGATCCAAGGCTTCTTGCTCTGGCTGCTGGTAGGGTTTCAAGGTTGCACCTTCTGCATGCTGCAATAAGGAATCTGTATCCTGCTTGTTTCAGAAATGCCCTCAGCCTCATCCAGGAGAATGGTTTTCCTTGCTCACTGTAACATGGTCCTTTGCTCACTGTAACATAACAGAAGGGGCTTCTGCTGCTCCTTTGGGTCCTGGGAAAATTGATTTGGTCTCTGCATGGTGACTTAACTGCCTTCATGTCTCTCTTCCTCCCTCTGTTCCAGCATTCATTAAGGCTGATCTTCGAAGACAGCAGGCCAATTTGGAAAATGAACAGACAGTGAGTAAAACCCCCCTCGACCCCTCCTGTGCCCCTGTTACTAGCTCAGGACAACATGCAACCTATCTCCTTTCTAGGAAAGGGTCTGGCTTGTGGGGAAGCTCCTTGTTGGCATTTTCAGACAGGTGGATGTAATTCCAGCTCTGCCAGCTGCTGAGGCCTGTTTTTGCTCACTGTCATGCAGAATCTGTAGGCTCTGGTTCTCTGTGAGTCTGCAGGGCTTCACACATCTTAATATTGGCTAGGGCCAGATGTAGAGCAGTGCTGTGCTCACTTTTCTCCCCTGAGACCCTGATCCTTCAGTGCTTTGCCCTTTGTTAGAGCTGAGTAAATAGTTCTAGGCACCTAGGGTTATTCTTCTTATTCCTTGCCATTAGCTGCCAAGTGGGGTTCAGTGTATGTGACTGGAGGAAGCTGGGTTACAAAGCCCGAATGAGGGCTTGAGCAGCCTGGCTCCTCACACTTTGCAGAGTGCTGAGGACAAAGCTACTAGTTTTTATCTGCACAGCAGAACTCGGCTATGATGTCCCTGTGACATGCTGTGTAATAAATGCAGCTGTTTGCATGTGGGAGGGGACCTCTAGTGAACTCATTGCACAGATACTTTTAGAAGCTTTTCCTGCAGGGAAAGGGAGGGGACTGGTTGGTTGAGGCTATTTTCCTTATTGCTCTGGGCTCCTTTTCTATGACATTAGCAGAGATATCTACTCAGTGTTCAGGAAGCCATCAGTGACCATGACTAGCAAAGTGTGTAAGTCTCAGTTCTCTGCTGGCTGGAGTCAGCTCTGTTCAGAAGACAGTGCTGTCCTCATCCAGAGAATCTAACCAGTCCAGTCTGGAGAAAGACCAGAAAGTCCAAGAAGCAAGTCTTCTCTGACCAGTTGCTCAGGAAGGTGGATTTTCAATTACAAAATACATGCTTTTTAATTTTTATTTTGATTTTATTTTTACTGAACTGTCTGAGAGGGTAGGATAAGGGAGTTGATGCTACCTTGAGTAGTTCTTGTACATATAATTCTACACTAGTTGGATGAAAAAAGGCTGTACAACTTATCCAATTTGGATATAGGAGTCCCCTCCCCTCCACTGTAACCCTCAAGCTTGCGCAGTGGATTTTTTAGGTGAGGCACAGCTTGTGCAGAACTGGTCCCACTCTTTACTCCTGAGGTTCATCTGCCAGGGCCTAGCAAGCTTGGACGGTGACAGTGAGGTCCTCAGGATGTAGATTTGAATTTAGAGTATCCTTCTCTCGGATGGATGGTCTTACAGGGCTAAGCGAGCTCCATCTGCCCAGGTTTGAAATTAGGGTTGTCCTTCTCCTAGGATGACTGCCAGAAGTCTAGTGAGCCCATCCTGCCCATGGACACACTTTATCTGACCCTTTAGTTTTGACCTGTCTGGCACGAGAGACCCTACCGGAGGCAAATACCACCGCCAGCACAGCTCTCAACCTCATAAGGGCATACAGGCCTCTCCCCACTGAAATTGTTTGGACAAGCCCTTCCCTCCTTACTTTTCCCCCACAGCCTCCTACACTCTAACCCAGGGACATCTCCTTGCCCTAAACCCCCTTCCAAGATGCTATAATCCCAAAACAAACCATTCCTGGGCAGAAGCCGCAGGCAAGCCAAGCCCATCACATCCCACTCTCACTGCAACAATGCTGGAACAGAAGTGATCCTGACATACCCCTGGGCGGGGTGGGCACACATGTAAGGGGTCTCTGCATGCACCCGGGGCTGGGGCACCTCCCATGGCCCCTGCCCAGCCCAAACCCCCTAACCCCCAGAAAAACCCACTACTCACCCTAAACTTACCCATCCCCCACCCTACCGTGTCACCGCAAGCCCCTCCCTCCCCCCCATTTAATAACTTAAATATTATTTCTCCTTCTTTTTCTGCTTTGAGTCTTACAACTTTGGTTGATTTTAGCAGTGGTGAGCATTATGGTCTACAGGACCAAGCTAGAAGACAACTGCTCTCCCTAGTGTGAATGCAGCTAACTGCAACACACTTAGCTAAGCTGAGCTGGAGTAAAGACCAGTCTGTTTTGATACACACCCATTTGCTTGTATCCTTCCATTAACTGTTCTGAAGTCAAAGGCAGAAGATGAATTGTAAGGCCAAACCATCCTCTGCAAGCCCTAAGGCAGCAGGGCTGTAATGAGAGGTGCTGGTGGCATAGTGAGTTAAATCATAACATGTATGTGGAAGGCCCAGGAAAGTACCCAAGGTCATTTGGCAGTGAAGGTGAGGCATACTAGTACTAAGGTCCTTTCTGTTTGTCAGACATTTCTCTCACCAGACGAATTGTACATTTTTGCTTAAGCCATTTTTAGTATAAATCCTTCAGTCTAAATACTATTGTAAGACCTTGCTGCTGGAGGGGGAAGAGCATTGAGACCAGAGCAAAGGTGGCACGGGTGTCATTTTTATAATCCTAAAAGCCTCCAGAACTGACAGTAGTAAGAACCAGAGAGATGTGTGTGAGGTAACAGGTCTCAGTCAGTCAAGACTCCTTCCCCCAAGAGTCATGCTTTGAGGAAGTCATAATGGACACCCTCCATAGTCCCAAATGTGGTCTCCATGTGCCTGAGCTCACCTGGCTACTTTTCAAGCTTAACAACCAACCGCAGGTGCTCAATCTACTGAAGGTAGGCTAAATCTGGTATTTGGCACTTAAATGGATGGCTCAGCCAGGGATCAGCCAGCTGGGCTTGGGCATGTGTGCTGCTTTTGTGGAGAGTTCTGATGGAGTAAGGTATTGGAGCTTTTCTGTGTGGCACAGCTGCCTTACACATGCTTGGGTGATTTTACTGGTTTCTTCCTTTGCCTATTTCTTATTTTGCCCCATTTTCATTTCCTTCCCTACTTGCCTTCATATTTTCAGGGATGGTGACTTGTGACTGTTGTTACAGAGACTCCAAGGCAGCAATCAGATCATGGATTATGGGACTGTAGCTTGTAACTGTAACCCATCAATTCCCACTCCTGCTCACTAGCTTATACAGCAAGGTATGAGAATTGCACTAATCTACTTCTCTGAACACTCAGGGGGTGGCACAGGCACCAAGCCAATGGCACTTCTGGGGTGACAGCAATGGCCATAGAGTACCAAGAATCTTTCTGGCCTTCTCAGGTACTCACCTGAGAGGAAAGACAAGACAGCATCCAACAACAACGTGCAGATCCCACCAGACTCATATTGGATAGTCACAGAGATTCAAATAGGCGCAGCAAGGCAAAGCCTCGTGCTAGATCAAATGGAGAACTAAATTGTCAGTCAGTTCTTGGGGAGAGGAGGTATAGACATTTGGAGACTCTTCTTTGACATTACTTTTACAGTCCAGTTTCTTGGCTGGAGGTGATATCCAGAACCCTGTAAAGAGTGGGCTTCGATCACAGCCAGGGTGCATGGCCAACAAGAAGGAAGTTTAAAAACATCTAGCAGTAACAGAGTCATTGGGTTGGTGCCATTTGATATAAGAATGCCCAAAAATTTTAAAGCTCTGTGCTTGCTGGTCTGTGAATCTTGGTGGCACTTGGCATTTGCTCAGCTGTTGCTTGGGGTGGTATGCTTTATTACTCACTGTCCTCTGCTTCACACGACTGGCTGATCTGCCAAGTTAACCATGCTACCTTTGCTTTTCAAGGACTAACAGGCAAAACCAGAGTGAATTCATTGGGAAATCCAGACTTAATCCTGCTAGGATGGGGACCGTGAAGCTGCTATGCTTTGATGGAAGTGTGAGTAAGAGTCCCATGGGCAGGGAAAAATTCTTCTCCAGGTGGAGTGCTTCTGAAGCTGTCTCCATGCTGCAGTCTGGCAGTTTTAGAAGGGTGCACGTGTGGTGTTGATTTGGGACCAAGTAGTTGAGGAGCTGTAGCTGCATGAGCTGGGCAAACCCACTTGGGGTATACTGGAACTTTTTTGATGGCTGAAGTTTATGTCATCACCTTTGTCAGCAGACTTAACTTGGAGCAGTTACCAGTGTTACCACTGACATGTCAGTTGCCAAACAGACACTGCAAGCAAAGCTCAAGTATTAGGCTCAGGTATTGATGCCCTGTGTCAAAACTGCTTCTGTAAAGACTGGTCATCTTAATTGGAGATTCCCTTCTAAACAGAAGGCCCAGTATGCAGACTGGGACCTACTTCTTAGGGAATTTGGCTGCTTTCCTGAGGCCCATGTTAAAGATGTGAAGAGAAAGCTTCCTCCCCTGGTACAACCCTCAGATTATTATCCATTATTGATTTTTCAGCTGTGCAGCAATGAGGTCCTAACAAGTCCCAAGGAAAGGCAGATCCTGCTTGACTAACCTGATCTCCTTATATGACAGGGCGACCCACTTAGTGAATGAGGGAAAGGCTGTGAATGTAGTCTACCTGGATTTAGTAAAGGCTTTGACACCGTTTCCCACAGGATTTTCCTGGAGAAACTGGCTGCTCATGCCTTGGGCAGGTACAATGTTTTCTGGGTAGAAATCTGACTGGATGGCTGAGCCCAGAGAGTGGTGGTGAATGGAGTTACATCCAGCTGGCACCCAGTCACTACTGATGTTCCCTAAGGCTCAGTATTGGGGCCAGCCCTTTTTAATATCTTTATCAATGAACTGGACAAGGAGATCAAGTGTACCCTCAGTTTGCAGACAACACCAAGCTGGGCAGGAGTGTTGATCTTCTGGAGAGTAGGAAGGCTCTGCAGAGGGATCTGTACAGGCTGGATCCATGAGCTGAGGTCGACTACACGAGATTCAACAAGATAAAGTGCTGAGTCCTGCACTTGGGTCACAACAACCACATGCAGCACTGCAGTCTTGGGGAAGAGTGGTTGGAAAGTTGCCTATTGGAAAAGGACCTGGGGCTGTTGGTTGACCGCTGCTGAACATGAGCCAGCAGTGTGCCCAGTTGGCCAAGAAAGCCAGTGGCATCCAGGCTTGTGTCAGAAACAGTGTGACCAGCAGGACTAGGGAAGGGATCATCTCCCTATACTCAGTGAGGCTGCACCTCTTGTACTATGTTCAGACAAGACAGACTGAGGTGCTGGAGCATGTCCAGAGAAGGGCAATGAAGCTGGTGAAGGGTCAGGAGCACAAGTCTTATGAGGAGCAGCTGAGGGAGCTGTGGGTGTTTAGCCTGGAGAAAAGGAGGCTCAAGGGAGACCTTTTTGCACTCTACAACTACGTGAAAGGAGGTTGTAGCAAGGTGGGGGTTGGTCTCTTCTCCCAACTTACAGGTGACAGGACAAGAGGAAACAACTTCAGTTTGCACCATGTAAAGTTTAGATTGGATATTAGGAAAAATTTCTTCACTGAAAAAGTTGTCAAGCATTGGAACAGACTGCCCAAGGAAGAGGTTGCATCATCATCCCTGGGGGTATTTATAAGACATGTAGATGTGGCACTTAGGAGGCACGGTTTAGTGGTGGATTTGGCAGTGCTGGGTTAATAGTTGGACTCGGTGATCTTAAGGTCTTTTCCAACCTAAACAATTCTGTGAATCTGTAGTTGTTGCAAGGAGAAGAGTGACACTCAGAGTCAGTTGTGAGCTTCCAGATCATGCAGAGCTGTAGAGTTGTGCAGTCCTCACACTTCCCACTGAAGCACTGTGCCATTGGCTGTGTAGCAGGTTGTCTTCTATCAGTGCTCTCATCTGCTAATGGTTATAATTAAACAGATGTTGCAGTTAGTAGATTAAATTAGCCTAGTGGCATTGTGTACTCCTTGTCCTCTATTAATAAAACTGTAGCGTGGTCCCAACAATCCTTCCACTTTTGTCTACCTCAGTTCCCAGAGCTTCATCTGGGTTAGCTTTCCAATCTCAGGACATTTGAATCAAGCGCCCATTTTACATGATAATGAGACTCTTTATGTGCTCCCTGTGTTGTAAGTGCATCTGAGGCGATTCCAACGTTGTGCCTTAAGGTTTCATAGTAGTGTCAGTTGATTCAGCACACACATTATAATCATGAATATACTGTGTACTGCCTGGGCTCATTTCCTCCTGGTTTCCAGCATCCATGCAAACCTTCTGTCATTGTTTCTTTGCATTTTGGAAAAGCACCTTTGCTGATCTGACACAGGTTGTTTTGATTTAGGATTGAATTGTTCAAGTCTCAGGCTATGTTTGCTTGGAAATACTTTTAAGCTTTGGTTTCATTTGACTTAAGATTGAATTGTTCGAGGAAAGTCTTAGGCTATGTTTGGAAATACTTTTAAGCTTTGAGAGCTTTTAGGAAAGCAGCTATCATTTAGAGTGCAGGATTATAAAACGGCAGGACTGTCTTTTTGTTCAGACTGGGCTTTGCTAGGCCTCTTTGAAACTTGCAGATTTGATTTATGTGTGTTCAGGGCACTTGAGATTCCTATCTGCCCATCTAATAGAGTAGAAGATAAATTGATTTTTGTGTGTGTGAAAAACATATTCTTGATGACAGAGGATAAGTCAGGACTTGATCAGTGCCAAATACCTTTTTTCCTGGTTGTATGTTTGCCTGGATGCAAAGATTCATCTGATGGATTGCAGTGAAACACCCAAAATCATGTTGCTTTTCCTTCCAATTTAGTGTGATTTAGAGGCTGGCTTAGGGCATTAGGACAAGCATCCCCCCTCAGTAGCTTGCTGGATTCCCTTGGAAGCTGTACCATGCTTAGTCTCTAGTGAAATAGTGCCAATAAAAAAATGCTGTAATTTTGTATAGCAGGCATGAACAATGTGTACCCATGCTCTGCTTTCCAAACTTCCCTTCTCCCTTTCTTGTTTTCTGTGTGGCAAATAGCCTTTTCCATCTGTCCCAAAGCCATAGGCAGGCCATCTCTATGCCCTTTTCCAGTACTGTGACTGCCAGCTGTGAGAGCAGCCTTCCTTTCCTAAGGTGGTGGAGCCTTGCAAACTGGCTGATCTTCTAAAACTCTGCTCCTGTAGCTCCACAGCAGGTGAGTGGTGCTCAGGCACCAGAGGTTCTTGGGGAGCCTCTTCAGAGTTGCTAAAGTGCTTCCATAAGTGCATTCTAGTGGAGTTTCCCAAGTCTAAATGCAGTTTTCGCCTTATTCCTACGTGTGGCATTACTGCATGCATTCCCCTACCCCTCCTGCTTGTAGAAGTTACCTCTTTGCACTTCCTGGCTTTTGCTTCCCAGCTTTCACTTCCAGACATCTCTTTGAAGCTTTCCTGATCTCACTCCTTTGCTTTGGGATATTGCTGCTGACCTCTATAAAACCTTTTCACCTGCAGTTTGTGTAAGAGTCTACGCAAAGTGAAACTCTTTCATATCTCTTGCTTCCATGCTGCCTGGACTTCTCTTAAACTGCGCTGGGGATGTGATCCTCTTTCTCACGCACCTCTGACTTCTGCCTCAGACGTCAGTCTAACCCCACAGTGAGTAAACTCAGAGCCCAGGCTGCAGGAAACTCCACATTCACCCTTACAAGTCTGCATGCTGTCTTCTGAATTGGTGACAGCTGGGCAGAATCAGAACTTGGAGAGGTATCAGAAATCCCCTGGGAGAAGTCTCAGGTTTAATCCAGAAGGCTCAGAAGAGCTAATCAAGCTCCAGCCAGGAAGGCTGAACTGGAATTGTGAAAGTGGTGGTAACTGGGCAGCAGTCTCTGTTTTCCTTGCTTTTCCTCTGGGAAATAACTCTACAGCTCCTTCCATCTTAAGGTTTTGAGTAATCAGGCTAGTTCTTCTACAGGATTTATGGAGAAAAAAAACCTGTTTATGTTTGCTCTCTAAGATACGAGTGAGGAACTTTGAAGAAGGCATAACTCTGTGGAATTATCCCAGCCATAAATCCAAGCTGGGGATAGGGAAGAAGCAGGACAGAGGGTGCCAGTCCTGAATGGGCAGTGTGGGTGGGGACGAAAAGACTTGAAGATGAGCAAAACCCGCAATGTGTCTGGGAGCTGAGGCCTCAGACGTGCCAGAGGAAGGACACAGAGTTTTGTGCTGAGCCTCCTGAGGAGGCACAGGATGCAGGTTCTCTCTGATGTTTGCACAGACACTGTGTTGCCTCATGGCATGAGGGAGTTCCCACTGCCTTCCCTTGCCCAGGGAACTAGCCCTGCAATTCACTGCTTCGAGGCTGAGCTTGTGTCACAGTGAAGTGTTGTTGGTGAGCCGGTTGTGGGGCTGGTGCCATTGGAGGTATCAGCTCCACAGTATATTAGCAGTGCTTTGAGGACTACAAGCAAGTAGCCTAATGGAATTTGGACCCTTGCACTGCCCTGCTGCTCCAGTGACCCTTGTTTGGGCAGTCAAAGTGTCTGGAGAAGGAAGAGGGAACCAGCTGCACTCTCTGCGGATGGTGATTCTTTTTGGGGACTTCTGCATACTAGCAGGGAGTTAAAAATTAGGCAGGCTCTGGCCAGCTGATGCCTCTGAAGCCTGGGTGTGGCCACCCAGGATCCTAACCATATTGTTTTTTCTGTCTGACTTGCAGAAAGTGTTGCCAGAAGCTTACACTAATCCCATAGTTCTTGAGGAATCAAGGCTGTGAAATGGAGGGGTGGCAGAGCTGGGAGATGCAGCCCCCCCCTCATTCCCATCTTTGCTACCTGCACCACCCTCCTGTGACATGCGCCTCATAAACGGGAGGAAGCATCAGGACAGGAGTCCAGTGAACTGCTTGTGGAGAATGAAAGAGCAAAACAAGAAGGGGGCTGCTCTCTTCACTTATACCTTTGCATCTTGCTATTTTGGAGACTTTGCTGCTTGGGAAAAAAAGTTGGGAAAATCCACTGTGTCCCACCTCATCCCACCATGTATGCTTGGAAAAAGCACACGTGCTGAGAAAAGCCACAGTACCAGGCTGGCCCTGGCCACATGAGGGTGGCACGTTGCGTGTGGCTGTGTCTCCTCTCACAGGCCAACTGGGACATGAAATGCAGCAGCTGGACCATGCTTTGTGAGTAGACCTGCAAGAGCTTTCAGATGGCTCTTGGGAAGAGAGATTGGTCTGCCTCGGTGCCTGTGATCCTCTGTTGCACAGGTGATGGTGGAGGCCTCAGTACATCACCAGCAAGTGCAATGCAATGCACCAGCCACTGACAGCTCTCTTTGTGTTACTTGACTTTCCCAGATGAAGCACTCTTAGTTTGGATAAACCTCTGCTCAGAATTCACTGGGGTTAGCCTGATGTCCCTACATATTAGGAGTAATTGAGAGATAGCAATATGCCTCCTTCTACCTGGAGGCAAGGACTAGTTCTGCAACCTAAGACTAGCTCATCACTACATTAGTAACAGAAGTGAGTCAAACCACAAGTTTGACTGTCTTCCATCTTAATAAAAAAGTGCCTTTTGCATGTTTCAAGAGTACATAAAAACTTTTGTGAAGTGTTATTTTGAGAAAACCAGCCAAGGCTGTGTTGCTCTTCACAGCCATAGAGAGGGGTATGATGGGAATCCAGATTTGCTCCAGAGTGGAAGCTGCCCTCTTATCAGCATTTGTGTCTTATAGACATTACCCATCTGTATACTGTGTATCTTCTAAACATAAATGCAGATCCTTACATCACTTTCTCCTTCCTTTTCAGCATCCCAACCCTGGTGGAGACATTAAGTGTCCTTATACTCCTTAAATCATGCAGTTATTCATTTATCATTTGAGGGAGGGGACAAAAACTGTACTGAGGTAAAACAGTTAAAAATACTCCCGACATACCATTTTTGACAAAACATATTTTGCGTGAAATTATAACAGTCTTTTGATATATTGCATTTTGATACAGCCTGCCTGAGTTCAAGAAGTGTTTGGACAATGCTATCAGGCATATGATGTGACTCCTGGGGTATCCTGCCCATGGCCAGGTGTTGGACTTGATTCTGATAGGTCCCTTCCAATTCAGCATATTCTATGATTAAAGTCCTATCTTTGGTAGTTTGGGATTGAGGATGGGGGTTTAGAATGATTTTAAATAGAAGTTTTAATGTAAAAACATTTGAAGTGTACAATGAAACCTGACACATTCATATTAAATATTTGAAACAATCTACATGTGGCTCTTTTAATAGTATGAAATGTTTTGCAGAATGGAAAAATCATCTTTCTGCCCAGTGCTACTGCTGTGCTCTTTTCTTCCCTTCTGTGTTTTTCCTCTCTTTCTTGTGTATGTGAATTGTCTTCCCAGCTAGGAGTTCCTGCTGGTTCTTTCCTACTTTCTGTGTGCAGTCCACTGTTTTGGGCATTATTTTGTCTAGGTCTAAGCAACCTGTTCCTGTTTTCTCCATCTTCTACATTTATAGTTCGCTACACAGGTAGCTCAGTCCTTGCTCACAGATGCACACAGTTCAAATTTGCTTTCACCAGCGTGCTGTGGAAGGGAGAGCTGCAACAGCCCTCTTCATGTGTGTGTTGTGAGCAGTCAGACATGGAACTTTGTGGAAAGGAGTCAGGCAAAGGTAGGTTTGCTGTAAAAAGAGATGATGTATCCTGCAACATACAGTAGAAGCTGCTGTCGGCTCTAATCCTCCACCCACTTCTGTGTAGCAGAAAGACAAACATAGCGTGCTGCAGTTTTGTCATTTATTAGAAATGGCCCCTGACAAACACACACATGCAAGTTACACAGCAGTGCCAAGGATAGCACCTATTCTCTCTCTCTGGTCCAAAGTGTTCAGTGAATCCTGGGTAGCCCTGCACCTTCTCCCTACAGTTACAGTGGGAGAGAAGTCCTTAGTGCACTGGGCATGCCTGAGACTTTGCCTCTATCCAGGGAGTCAGTCACCAAGTGCCCCCCACAAGCCTGACACAAACTCCTTTGCATCTTTGACATCAGTCAGTTGTAATGTTGCACGGACAAGAAAAAAAGACTTGGTAATGAACAGTGATTGACAGAGTCCAACACTGATCCACCACTGGGACTGGTGTCCTGGAGAAGTTCAGCCGAGCTTTAGTTGAAGTCTGGCAGTGAAGACAGAAGATGACGCTGACCTATAAAGAGCCTTCATCTTCAGTTTTTCTTCTTGTTTTGTGACAGTGCTTCTACCTCCAGGTACTGCAGCCCAATCAGCATCCCCATAATAGAAAAACCTGTGATGGAGATACAGGATGAGTTGTGTAGCAAATGCTGGACAAGAGATGAGGCATTCTCTCCCACCATCCCCTCCCTGCCCTTAGCCTGTAGCTGCATGGGGAGTTTTTCTGGGGGTTCATAGGTCCAAGGAGAGTTTGTTGGGGGAGAATACAGAGCAATACTTACTTGCTACCATGAGGGGTGCCATAACTCCAATTGTCAAGGCTGCAGTGCGGTAAATGAAGACCTCGGAGAGGAAGTGAGCAAGGGCCAAAAAGAAGGTAAAGAGCGTGATGTGATAAAGGCTGTTGGAGAGCAGAAGAAAGCAGGTTATTATATCATACTATGGGCGTGAGTATGGTTGAGTGGAAAAGACGCAAACCTGCATGCTGTCCACTCTGCCCTCACTGGCAGCACAGAGGGTACTTGGTCCCTTGCCTAGTGAGGTGCAAAAACTCCCTGGGCAACAGTCGAGGGGAGAATGGGGCAGAGTGTTCAACAGTGCATTGGAAGTCACAGGCATTATCTGGCCTGAAGGCAGGTGAAGAGAGGAGAGCAAGAATAGGGCACTAGTGAAGTGAGAACTACATGCAACCACAAAAAAAGAGTGAGAACTGGGTGAGCAGAGAATTTAGGGTGACAGGACTTGGCATCATCACCCAACATATCTTCCCACCTGTGCTCTGCTATGCTCTAGGGCCCTAAGCTGATGAAAGGGAGCAGGTCCGAGAGATGCAAGATCAAATCCCGCAAAGGAACAACCGACTTATGTGGGTTTTGGGGGTAGTGACAATGCCAAATACCATTAACTGAATCCCTGCACCTCTCTATCTCAGACAAGCCTAGGCAATCCAAGGATGTGCTGCCAGATGAACAGTGACTTCTGCTGTGGGGCTGAGGGAAGTGGTAACAAAAGAGCGTGTTCTAGGAATCTCCAATAAAGGCTTTGCCTAGCACAGACCCTGAGTCAGCCTGCTTGGAAATCCCTCTCAGAAACATTTCTGTTAGCAAAGGGAGAAATGGCCTGCCTCCCACCTCAGCACCAGGCTGCACCTCAGGCTTTGTCCTCCACCCCAAGTAAGAGCGTGTGGAAAAAGGCAATGGTTAAGGCCACTGGAAGGGGGCGCCTCAACCTGCCACAGTCTTCACCTGAGCTGTCATAGAACAAAAAGTACTGAGCATCAGTCAGACCACAGCATTAGCAATTGCTTCATCAACAGAACAGAAACACCATTAGAAAATGCTTTCCAAGCTGGAGCTCAGAAATTTGTGACAGAAGCTCTCAGATCTACTGATTTCTGCTTGAGCTAAGAACAGAAATCAAGTACGCAGGCTGTCCCCTCGGAGGCAGAGGGGAGCAGCTGCTATCACACAAATCCTGCACTGCTATTTAAGCTTTTACAAGGGAAGGCTGTCAACACTATAGGAAGTTCAGAAAAAGCTTTTGATTCCCCACCTTCTCTGCGCTGCCCTCTAAGCTAGCTGCTCAGGCTGTGACTAGCAAGCAAACCAATCGGGCACTGCTTTACATACGTCCTGTTGCGGATGTCGATGGCGCAGAGGCAGCGGATCACCGACGACAGCAGAGTCCAGACGCCGAAGGTCCGAGCCTGGAGCCCGTTCACTGTGCAAGGAAGGAAGGAGCAAATGGAGACCATACACGGCCCCGCCTGCCACCCCCAGTCCCGCCGGCGCGGAGCAGCAGGCGGCTCCCGGGCCCCACAGGTGGGACCCGAGGAGAGCCCAAAGCCCGTGGCTGCAAGCAGAGCTGCAGGCGCCGGTGCGGCCGGCGCTGCCCTTACCGAGGCCGGGGCTGGCGGTGTACAGCTTCTCCGAGAGGAAGCCGTGATCGCGGAAGCTCTGCAGGGTGTTCCCGGCGGCGATGACGGACACCATGACGAGCCAGCTGCGCAGCACGCTCAGGAACCGGCTCATCCTCGCGCGCCCGGCCCCGGCCCCGGCCCCGGCCCGTTACCGGTGGCGCTCCCGCACCGCCCCGCGCGCGACACCGCCCCGCGCTGCGATTGGACGCTGCGCGCCGCTCCACGCGCGCGCCACGTGACGTCAGGGACACCCCCGCCAATCGGATCCCTCGCAGAGCGGGATGCGGCCCCGCCTCTCCCCGGGGCCCGGCCCCGCCCCCCCGCGGACACTGTGTGTGGGGGGGCGGTGAGCGCGCCTGCGCAGTGAGGCGGGGGGGCGCCTGCGCGGGGGGCGGGGCGGCCGCCCGTCGGTTGTTGTGGTAACGGGGAAGCGGCGGGAGGGGCCGGGCCCGCCGGGTGCGCTCGGCCCGCCGCGCGGGGCAGGTACGGCCGGCACAGCCACCCGCTGCCGTGCGGGTCCCGGCCTTCTTGCGGCTTCTGGGGTCGCCGGAGGTCGCCGTGCTCGGCCTGGCGTGGGGTAGGCCGGGCCGCAGCCGACCCTGAGGCCGCAGGTCCGCTCCCGCGCCGGTGGAGGCGTTACGGTGCCCGTCTGGCCCCGGGCGGCGGGCTGTTCTCGGCAGGCGTTTCCCGTTGGGCCGGGCCGACCTGGCGCGGGTCTGCGGCTAGAGGCAGGGCAGGGCCGGGCCGGGCAGGGCCGTGCTTCACCGGTACGCGCTCGAGGGGCTCTCGCGGGCAGGTGGGGAATAATCTCTTAGAAGGTGATGCTTCTTCCTGTACTGTCCTGGCTGGGAGGTGATTTACAGCCTGTAGCACGCTCATTGTCCTGTGAGAAATATGTACTGGCAGGGAGCGGGAGTTATTTCGTTTCTCTCGCTGCTCTGCTCAGCTGTGCATTCATGCTTTTAATCTTTTTTGCAGGTGACCACTCCTTCCAAGAGCCCTTGAATTTCCAGGAAGGAGTCTTGGTGGCTACTGAGACTGGGCTGTATGAAAACTGCCAGAGGAAATGCCAATCGGGATGGCTAAAGATCTCGAGGAAAGTGGCTCATCCTCAGAGGAGGAGGAGGAGGAAGATGCTATAGATGCACTGGAGTAAGTAGGGAAAAACCCTTTGAACTGTTTCTGTGTGCCTGTGCTTCCTGAAGGATTTTTACTAATCTGAAAAGACAGATGCATTTCTTACCCTCCTGCCTATAAAGCGGAAGATGGTTGGTTTGGGTCTCAGGCCTCTGGGCAGACTGCCTACATTTGTAGCCTAAAAGACCACCATATTCACCAGGGTTGGACTTGCAGCTTTTCCTTAGCTGCTCTGAAGTCTGTAGTTTCATTGATTTCTTTCTGTCATGTTCCTAAGCTGGGAACTTTTTTGATTATGTCCTTTTTTTTTTTTCTTTTGTTTGTTTCTTTTGTTTTGTTTTAGCTTTTACTGCTGCAGAGAATAGAAATCTATACAGTAGAATGATATACGATGTTTTATGTCTTTTTAAAAACTGCCTTATGAGAACTCAACTCCTAGAGTTCATGTTACTTACTAGTATAAGTAATTATGTTTGTTCCAGCTCTTTTTAGTAACCTTTTTTATCTTTGCTTATGAAGAAGTGGCTCCCTTATTCTTTGCCAGAGTGGCATCCCTTTTCTCTTTCAGCTGTAACATGTCCTGTTAGTTTTCGTTTGGGTGCATGTTGTGCCTGAGTGCCCAGTTGCAAACTGCAGCAACTTCAGGCATTTAGAGGAATTTCAGTTCATACCAAGTGGTTGGCTTGGACTTGGTAGATCCTCATGGATGGAAAGGTCCAGAACTGACTTCACCTAGAATGTAACTTTAATAGTGTGTCTGCATCAAGTGGCCAAGGGTTATGCTAGGAATGAATGACTGTCAGTGGGAGGATTGAGCCTTGCTGCAAATCCTCAGGACAAGCTTAATATAAACTCCTGTCCTTTTGCCTCAGCTCATTTCCCACTTACATAAGGCTCTGGCTTGTAGTGTAAATTCTGGAAGCTTCTTGGGTCCCTTCCAGTCTTAACAGCTAATTACTCCCCAGTAGTAGGTTTTGGGGTTTTTTTAACTATTTTTTAGAGGTAGTGGAAACACATGGGAGAGCTGTGAAGTTAATTTGTCTGGGTGATAATGGTAATAAGTTGGTTAAGAGACCAAGGCTACACTTAAGAGTCCTTGTCCTAGCTCTAGGAAAAGGTGGGGTGGAGATGCACCACCACCATCAGAAAATTGCCCTTTTATCTTTGTTCATGTGTTTTTAGTGTTGGAAGTGTTTTGTCTTCTCTAATTTCTCCAAACCTTTGGCAGACAATGATCTTGCACATTCTGTAGACAAATGCTTCTGTGTATCTCTGCCAGTCTTTGTATTTCTTCTTGTTAGTGTAGATGAAGATGTCTCCCCAACCCCTCAGTCTCTGGTTTTGGTTAACTTTTTCATGGTTTATGTTCCTTGCACAGCAGCCTGTTTTATTTGCTTAGGAAGGTTGACAGGTTTCCTTTGGGTGATCTTACAATTTGATGTGACAGATCTTAATGTCTTTGATGTGTTCTTAATTCCTCTGAGGAGATAGTAGTTCTGAATGCTGTCTTGTTTGTTTTGCACAGAAGTGATGACCGTATCCCAGAGCCTGTGGCTTGAGTGGCGGACTGGGGACATTGTTCTTGAATCTGGACTTGCATTCCACTGTATCTCACAGGAATTAAAAGGGAAGAACACACAAATTTATCCATTGTGTTGAGCCAATCTTGTTCTAGTCTCTCCAACTCTGCATTAGTGCTTTTCTGGGCACTTCAGAGTCCAGGATTACAACCAGGCAGGCTGCACTGATTTGCAGTTCTGAAACTGGAGTCTGAAACCTGCATTGCAAGGGCTGGTTCTGTGGATACCAGCAATTGTGGTTTATCCTGAATTATAGATCCTGTTTTCAGGCTGTACATTCAGAGAACTGTAGCTGTGAAAGTTCATGAGATTTCTCCCAAATTATACTCAGTAAAATAAATACGAATTTAAACAGAACTCAGGCTGGTGAGAACCCAAAAAGAGGGTGATCTGGAAGGTTCCCTTTATAGCTGAGTACCAAGGATGCTATATTGAGTTTACGTGGCCGGGTTAGCAGATGAGCTACAGGGTGGCTTCTGTGGGAAGCTGCAGGAAGCTTCTTCCATGTCTGACAGAGCCAATGCCAGCCAGCTCCAAGATGGACCTGGTGCTGGCCAAGGCTGAGCCCATCAGTGATGGTAGTAGTGTCTCTGTGATAACATTTATGAAGGAAAAAAGTTATTGTGCAGAGGTAATTGTGCTCAGAGAAGAGAGAGAATACGTGAGGGGAACAGCTCTGCAGACACCAAGAAAGAGGGAGAGGAGGTTCGCCAGGCACTGGAGCTGAGGTTCCTCTGCAGCCTGTGGTAAAGACCACAGTGGGGCAGGCTGTCCATGGAGGAGGCCCACACCAGAGCAGGTGGATGCCCAAAAGAAAGTTGTGACCCTGTGGAAGGCCTGTGCTGGAATAGGCTCCTGGGAGGAACCTGTGGACTCGTAGAGAGAGGACCCCATGCTGGAGCAAGTTTACTGGCAGGACTTGTGACCCCATGGAACTCCACGCTATAGCAGCCTGTTTTTGAAGGACTGCACCCTGTGGAAAGGTATCCATGCTGGAGCAGTTCATGAAGAATGTAGCCTGTGGGAAGGACTTGCACTGGGGAAGTTTGTGGAGGACTGTCTCCTGTGGGAGGGACCCCATGTTGGAGCAGAGTATGGACTCCTCTCCCTGAGCAGTGGCAGAAGCAACATATGATGAACTGACTGTAACCCCCATTCACTGTCTCCCTTTGCCTCTGTGGGGGAGGAAGTAGAAAATTGTGAATAATGTTAAGCCTGGGAAGGGGGGAGGGTGGTGAGGAAGGTGTTTTTAAGATTTGTTTGACTTAGGTAATAAGTTCAGCTAATTTCCCCAAGCTGAGTCTGTTTTGCCTGTGATGGTAATTGGTGAGTGATCTCTCCTTGCCCTTATCTCTACTTGTGAGCCTGTCATTTTATTTTTTCCTCACCTATCCAGTTGCAAAGGGGAGTGATAGAGTGGCTTTGATGGGTACCTGGTATCCAGCTAGGGTGGGACCTGGAACTGACACAGATGCCTAGAGTGTGTGTGTGTGTGTGTATATGCAAGTCAGCATAGGCAGGGCTTGGGAGCAACCACAAAACCAAGGTTGAAATGCAGAGAGTAAATTTATTTTCGCTACCTTGCTGACTGTGGGATCCCCAAAGCAGCACCTGGGCAGAGGCACGCAGGCAGGGACACAGGCACTGTGGAGCTTGGTCCTTGCTAGAGAGTCACTTGAAGCTGCTATTCACACCTGTTTTTCAGAGATTCTTGTAGGTGTAGCTTACCACTATGCTTTGACCTTTCCCACAGCAGGAGAGAAATTTCAGGCATGTTCAGTAGGGTGCCTCAAAGTCTATTGGAGTCCTGTGTTATCTGACCAGAGATGTACAAGGATGGGTTGGAGGGGGAGCCTTCAGGTCCTGGGTGACGGAAAGAGGAGTTTATTGTGGGAATGGGGGCTTATAAGGCTTTTAGGGGGATTAAAAAAGAACCAATTACAGTCTCAGGGTCTTACAGAAAAACCAATCAGGTAAAGAGTTAATAACCAATAGGAAGGGGTTAACAAAGGCCAATGAGAAGACCTCAGGATATCTTCCCAGGACATTCCTGCGTGGGAGATAAGAGTTCTTTGCAGGGGGTGTCGGGAAGAAGAAGCAGTGACTTTACAGAAATACAAAAGACCATTTTAAGATATGTTTAAACAACATTAAAAACTTTTGTTTCTATAACATTTGGGCTGTTTTCTTCTTTTCCTTCACCAGTCCATCTTTGACAGGATTTTTTCCTTTCTACATATGGTAAATCCATTACCACACAGATGTTCTACTTGTCAAACACACAAGAATAGACAACAATTTGAATGTTACATGTATTTTTCCACACCCAAGCTGCAAATCACTTAGCTGTGTTTACAATCCTCCTCGCTGTTCTTCCGTTATTTTCCATGGTGTGTTTGCCTGTGTCCTGCCCAGAGGCTAGGCAGGCAAACATTGGCAAGTATGGAGAATTGCTGTGTCCTCATTTTAAGTAACTGCTGCATGTATGAGGCTCAGCAGTTGCTTATACTGACCGCGTTGTCATTTCAGGGATCATCCATGTATCAAGTGGACCGGTGGTGGCTGCAGGCGGATCCCAGTCTTGGTATTTCATGCTGAAGCCATTCTGACCAAGGACAGTTACCTCCGCCTCATTGGAGGTAGGTGTTACTGTGTGGCAGGTTTTGGCCTGAAGGCATGAGGTGAAAATCTCTTCTCTTTGTGGTGTGGAAGAGGACGTGGTAGGAAGGAAATTGCAATCCTCTCTTGTCTCTGAGCACTGAGATGTTCAGAAATGCTTGATCCACTGGTGAATGTGTACAGTTGGACTGTGACAAGTGTCCGTATTTGTCTCTCCATTGGTTCTTGATGTGTTGTGAGTTGGAACTGTCTGCTTGCAAATTGAATGTGGAAGCTGTGCTAGAATTTAGAACTAGAGTATAAATTCACTGTAGCTAAGAACTTTAAAATCAGTCACTGCAGTGAGTTTTCAGGGGTTTTCATGGGAAATAAAGCAGCTAGCCCCACAGTTGTATGAACAGCAATAAGCTGTAGTAACACATCTGTGCATCTACAGCCTCACAAGTGAGAGAAGGCCATTAGCAAAATGATTACTGGCAGCACTTGAACTGGGAGACCAAACCTGTTTTGTGTCAAATACGGGAGAGCTTCTAAATAAGAGGCTACCTTGTTAAAAACAATCACTTTGGATTGAGAGAGTTAGTACTTTTGGCTGTGTACAGCTGGGTGCTCATTCTGGATGCGCTGAGTTGGAGAAAACCTTAAAGTCCTTTCTGTGAAGGTGGTGACACTTCTTTCCTCTCTTGCTTCTTCCTTTCTTAGGTAATTGATGCCTTCATTTCTAATATCCTATCCAAGCAGAAATGCTTCTGGCTCTCTGGGGTAAGGGGTGGAGAAGGTGATTTATATATGGAAACTCCTGATCCTTTTCATGTGAGTTAAAAACATACTTGGATGGTGGCAGAAGCCGATGGTAATTGTAACTCATATTCTAACTCGAGTGTGGGGTCTCTTCTGCTTTTTCTCAAGTGGTTTAACAAGTCTACTGCTGAATAGTGCAACTCATAAAGTTTCCTTCTGCTTTGTCTGGTCCCAGATTATGATACTTCTTACTCTTTTGACTTATTTTTGTTGGTAGAACATATTTCCTGAGGTTTAATCTAATCTTCACCTTTTTATTCTCAGTTTGAACTAATTTTTAAAGTACCATTTCAAGTCATTCTAGCATTGCAATTTCCATCTCTTCTCTCTTGGAACTTTTAGGGATTGCCACATTCTTTTGTATGACAACTGGCCTCTAGTCTTGCTATTTGCTTTCAGTTTACCTTATACGTCCAGTAGAGTTTACTGCTTTTGTTTTTATGACTTTCTACTTGGGTATTGATTTTATCTTTTTATCTCCTTGTCCTATTCACTTTATATCCTGATACATTTTGCAGGTATTTGTTGGAAGATCAATACAGGTGGATGAGACGTAAACAAAAATTAAGTGTTTGATTTTGGGTTGTTCTGGTCTAAAAGGTGATCATACAAGCTAGCCGTGTCAATAAGGGGCATAAGGCATGGTTACTAGAAATACTAATCTTGAATAGAGAAGAAAGAGCTAAAATCATTTTTGTAGTATTATAAAGCAGTCTATCTAAAGGGTTGTTTTAAAAAAAATACTCCTGGTATTTGTTAGGATGTCCTGTGCTCTATTTTAATATGATAGGGTTCAGTGGTGCAACAATTTTTAACTAAGGATTGATGTTCAGTGGCATCATTGGAGTTAATGCTCCAAAAGATGGATAGATGGATAGGCATTTCCTATCACCCTTTCCCTGTTATGTGCTGTTACTCTCTGTGAATTAAGTGCAGTCCTACTATGCTGAGTCTTTTTCTCTTTGGTAGCATGATTAACTTTGGTTTATTCTTCTAGGTGTAGACTCTAATATCATGTCTCTTTGCCTCTTAACAGAGCGCTACCACATGTCCTACAAGATAGTGCGAACAGACAGCCGGCTGGTTCGAAGTATTCTGACTGCCCATGGATTCCATGAGGCGAGTACCATGAAATTCTGATGTGTTTATGTGCTGGGCTGGGAGGTGATGATGATGATGTTCTGGGGGTTTTTTGTGTTTTGTTGTGTGTGGGTTGGCTGTTTTGTTGTTGTTTTTTTTTTCCTACTCCGCAGGGTTAGAAGCAGGAAGCTGCTGTGGACCCCTTTGAGGGTTTGTTTTGGTTTGTTTGTTGGTTTGTTTTGGTTTTTTTTTTTTTTTTTTAAAGTACTCTGACGGTCAGACTGAAAATATGTCATGATTCTGCACTCTCAAAGGACTACCCTTTAGTCTTGAACCTGCAAAATTAGGGAAAAAGGGATGCTGAAGTTTGGTCATGTGTTTTTAATCTTTTTGCTTTTAAAGCCTCATCTCATACCTTGGGAAAGATCTGAAGGAATTAATCTCTCAGCCTTTACAAGCTCGCAGAAGTATTGGTATAGTGTTTCACATTTCTCTTCCATCACCTGTCTTTCTCTAAAAAGTCTCCTGTATGCAGCTAATGGCAGTTTGAGAAGTGTGTTTAGGGTAGATTTTTTTCTGAATAACACTAAGTTAAGGAATTGGTCTCACAAGTTTCCTGAAGAGATATAAAACACTTTAAAAATTGGTTTTAAATAGTCTTTGAAAAGAACAAACTCACAAAACCATGTGACATGGTTATTTCCCAAGACAGAAACAGCTTGGCGCAGGAGTTTGGCTGGAGTTGCCCTTATATTAGGGATGAGTAGAGGACATGGTCTTAAACTAGAACTACTTTGGTCTCGTAGACCTAAGGACCAGTGGTGTTGCTTTTCATTAGTTCTGTGTTTTTGTGTGTGTGTTTATGTTGCTTTTTAGGTTCACCCTAATAGCAGCGATTATAATCTCATGTGGACAGGATCACACTTGAAGCCCTACTTGCTGCGTTCCCTAACAGATATTCAGAAAGTCAATCATTTCCCTAGGTAAGGCCTTGATATCATGTTTTGCTGAATATCTCTGTGATGATTTGGAAAACTTTGAATATAGATACCTTAAAAAATAGAGTATACAAGAGAAAGTCCCAGCATACTGGGCCTGTGGAACATACTGTCTTCATTCTAAATGGTCTTTGGGGTTTGGGGGAGATAGTATTTGGGTGAAGTGCTTGTCTGTAGCCCAAATATTGGATTTATTGCATTTTTAATTTTATTTTCTTTATTTGATGATGTAAGTAAAATAACTTGGGACTTTGGGTTTTCAGTTACAGAGATAGTCACATGTCCCATTTTAAGGTTTGCAACCACCATTCCAACAGTTTACTGTGTTGGAATTTCTGTCTTTGGAATTTCAAGAAGTGCTACAAATGATATTAAATACAGCCATAGGACAGAGACAGTAAAACCCATGAGTAGTTGCAGGTTAGGGTTTAGACAACTTACAGGGCTACAGGTACTTTAGCATCTAGGATAAAGGGTTGCTGTAATGTTGGGGAAAAAATAGATGCAATCTCTTGTTTTGGGACTTCAGGTCGTATGAACTGACACGAAAGGACAGACTATACAGAAACGTCACTCGTATGCAGCTGACCCATGGATTCAAGACATTCCATATCTTACCTCAGACCTTTATCCTCCCAACAGAGTACCAGGACTTCTGCAGTAAGTTAATGGCTGGTGATGCCCAAACCTAAAGCAAAATAACTGGGTGGAGGAAAGGGAATTACTTTTAATATACTTTTAATATTATGCCAGTGTTTAAGGTAACAAAATTAAAGAAAACTGGAAAGACAGTGGAAAAAGCCCACATGATTTCTTTCTGCTGTTTACTCTGTGCCTGCATAAGTCCTCAAGAAGCTGATGTGAGCCAAAGGCTCGAAAATTGAGCTTTATGTGCACAGGGTTGTTGGTGATCAACTTCACAATATCCTTGACTAATGTCTGGGAGAACTGAAGAGAGAAATGCCAAAAGGAGGCATAGGGCTTAGGAACAGAATCTATCAGAGCAGCAGGAAGGACTTCAGGGAGAGGCTGTAATAATTGCAATGAGTCACAAGAGGTAAAATAAGACATCCAAAAAGCAGACTTTAGTCTCGTTATGGAGTTCTCTTTACTGTAGACAACATTCTTGATTCTTGTTTCTCTGCAAATAAGCAAAATGGAAGATATTTCAGACTTGTGCTGTTTTCCTTTAACCAGATACCTATTCTAAGGACAGAGGGCCATGGATAGTGAAGCCTGTGGCCTCTTCGAGGGGTCGAGGTGTCTACCTGATAAACAATGTAAGTGTTCAGCAAAAGGAATGCTCTTCAGTAACACTGTGTTTGAAACTACGTTGGCTTCCAGACCAACATAACCAGACACTGTCCATACTGTGAATTTCAACCATATGCTGGTGAGCAGTTCAAGAGCCCTGAGCAGCTGGCAGAGCTTACCTGGGCATGTGCTGTGAAACCAAAAGCAATCTATTTCTTTGTATGCTATGCTTATATTGCAATCTACCTTCAAGTCTTAGCTTATTAAGAGTAAGTTATACTCCCTGAGAGAGTTTGGGAAACTGTGCTGCTTCATGCTCTCCTTGTGGCTGACAGTAGGCTGGCCTTGGAAAGTTTTCCAGAAGTCTTCTTAGTTGTTTCCCTGTGTGACCTAAACAGTCCTCAAACAGACCCCTTGCCTCCCTCTTTCTCATTAAAAAGACCAGTTAAAAGCAAACCTTATACAGTAGGAAGTATATCAGTCTTTAAGCTGTTATCTAAAGGCCAGTGTGCCCTTCTTGAGGTGTAATGAGGGTAGTTCTTTGAACTCAACATGCTGGTTATAGTGTCTTCTGCTCTTGTTGGGCTTTGCAGGGAGTTAGGTTGTCATAGGTAACAAATACATCTGAACAGGAGCCAAACACGAGGGGATTCCAGTAAATATTCTCAGCAGTGAAACTGACTGTTGAGTAATTTTTTTTCCCACTCATTTGAACCCCCTTCGCCTTCCCTGCACTGAAGGGGTCATGCTGCCTCATCTGTTCTCTACTTGGATCATTTCCCATAAAATAAGGGAGCAATTCGCCAAGTGTATGAGGTAAGTATTTCCAGAGCTGCACTCAGTTTTTTCTTTGCTTGAAAGGGAGAAATGACCTCAGGCTCATATGGCAGTTCACCATGACCTGGGGAAAAGACCCTTCTGGGACCAATATCCCTTTGTGTATCTCTGTTCCAGAAACACTTCAGCTAGTTTAGCCCACAAACCAGTTTCCTTCAGTGTGATACCATTAAAGAAGTGTCTTCTAGAATCTCATCATGTTTTTAAAAGTAACAACCACCCTCCCCCACTAACAAAATAACAAACCTTTGCATTTCTCTAATCCATAGTAGAACAGGCTGTCACTTTTGTGGGATGTACTGAAGGAAGTTTAGCTTGTTCCCTCACACTGTATATGTGCACTTTGTATGCTTAGGTTTCGTGCTCATGATGCTGGTGTTGTGGCTGAACACACGCAAAATTGGATAAAGGCAGAATTGTGGTTATCTTGGCTCTTTCGCAGACTGAAGGCAAGAAAATGTACAAGAAACTGTTTGTACGACTAGTAAAACTGGTCCCAAGAGAGACTTGCATACAGCAAAAAGTAAAAAAAAAAAGCCTTTTCAGCAGATCCCATGACATTGCAATGTATATTTGTCACAGTTAGAGCTTTCTGTTCTGAGCCCAAAGGGTAGCTTCTTCCTGTTACAGGAGCCCTGAACTGAGCCTCAGTAGATGGTATTTACTCATGTAGGCAAAAAGGTTGGATACTAGCCCAGGATTTGTTATAAAGATCACAAGTTGAGGAGTCATTTTCTTCACTTGTGACTTCCTTACCAACTGTAGCTACATACACCTTCCAGTGTCTTCTAAATCCCTCCTTTATGTGTTTGGTTAACCCTTGAGGAGCAAACAGAATAACAATCACTTCTTAGATATGTCTTTTTTCCTGCTTATTTGTCACGTGGCTGCTAAATCTGTATTCTACTCTAAGGAACATTACACTGGAAGATTCAATGGACAGGTTTTTTTGGCAATGTAATTGTTCCCAGACTTCTGATTATGATCTAATTACCTTAAATATGTTGTGACTGACTGTTAAGTTTTTTATTTTTATTTCTTCCCTCCCCAGACATAGCGATTGGTACAGGGTGGCTTTAGGAGGGCAAGGCTGGAAAAAATGATGGATTTGATCTAGTTGTCATCTTATTCCTTAAGCCTCCTGTTTTTTCACTTTTGAATTCTCTGTTCCTCTTCAGCCAAGCCAGATTGTCGTGGAAGACAACATCCTGGTTTCTCGTTACATCAGCAACCCCTTGCTCATAGATGGTGAGTGTGCTTAGGAATTGCTTTTCTCTCTTCCCCCAGCCTGCATCTGAGGATCTCTTCAACATTTGCAGTAATTTAGTTGAATAACTTGAGTGGTCTAGCTTTGACTAGTACCAGAAAAATGTAACTAGAGAGTTTGTTAAAACCTGTAAGCTTTTCAACTGGGAAAGCTTCAGGCACCCATGTCAGCAGCAGATAATGGTTTATTGCTCTCAGGGTCTGTTGAAATTTCTCAACTGGACATGATGTCTCAAAGATACTTGCAGTCACTGACTCCTGACAACTGTATTTCAGATTTCAAATTTGATGTGCGGCTCTATGTTCTGGTTACATCCTACGATCCACTTGTCATCTATCTCTATGAGGAAGGATTGGCCAGGTAGGGACAATTCTTCTATTTCAGTGTACCTGCACTTGATGATGAACTGTTGATGGCTGTATTGGTGATTGTTTCAATACTTTAAACCACTCTTCCATATACTAGGTCAGTATTTGTATTTTCTGCAGTATCCAGTAAATGGGTTTAGACTAGTTCACTGTTTTTTTTACTTTGCAAGATACCAGTTTTCCTCTGCACGTACTTCATGAAAGATAACAAAAATTCCCCAGGAAGTGTACTTATCTACCAAAAGGACCTGTTTCTCTTCATCATACAAGTTTAGCTAAATCATAGAATATGGTGATTTGGAAGGTACCCATTGGGATCATAGAGTCTGACTGCTGGCCCTGTGCAGGACACCCCAAGAATTGCACCATGTGCCTGAGAGCATTGTCCAAATGCTTCTTGAGCTCAGACAGGCTTGGTGCTGTAAGGAGTAAATTTGGAGCAATCACCCCTGTGAATTTCCAACAGATCAGAATTTTAACTATAGTGATGTTAGAGAAAAGAGCACCATAGGACTGTCTTCTGCAACAGTTTTAAGTAATGCTGTATCTGTCTTATAAGCACATATGATGTGTTCAGAATTAATATCTCTAGGGTTTGTGCCTGCCATGATTCTGACTTGGGTAGATACTCAATCCAAATTATCTTTATCCAAAGAAGATAATGAATCCCAAAGAATATATTAATAATGATCCCACAAGAAATACCACCCTTTAAATACATGAATACCCTTCAGGTGTGTTGTGATGTGCCTCTGTCTTCAAAGATAATGTGAACAAATTGTTTCCCTAAAGGGAGGCAGAACAGAGAAGCTCATCTTCATCAGTGGAAAGCTTGACAACTATATTCACTCTACGAAGGGAACCTTAAACATATGTGGCATGCAAGACTTTTCTCTTGGGAATTGGCAATTAAATTGTTAATTGCTAATATTGCATGTTTTTGGAAAGTGAAGAGGAGGGGAAGAAAGAGTTTTTGCCAGAACGTTCTCAGAATGGGCAGTGCGTAGCAGGCCTTCAAAATAGCTCTTGTGCACCATCATTAATGTCTTAAAGGTGGTTCTACTGATCTTGTTGTAACAAAGGAATTTACTTCTGGAAAAATCCATCTGTATAAACAAATGTTCTACTCTGAGGATAAGTGTGCATTTTTATCTCTCACAGTAGAGTAACATGTTTTCCTTGGGATGGGGAAAGAGGAAGTGTAAATGGGGATGTGTATGGGTGGGTGGGTGTTTTGGTTTTTTTTGTTTTAACAATTCTAGTCATACTAGAGATCTGGGGAAGAAAATGAGGAAGGAAATAAGTATATTCTTCTTACTGAAATACAGTGATTAGAAAGTTCTAGTGAATCCCTTAAGGCAGAATCATCAAATTCTTTGGGTGGGAAGGGAAGTCTGGAGTTCTTTAGTCCAGCCTCCTTTTTAAGACCTTCAAAGTTTGTGCACGTGCTCTGTGACCTTACACCATAAAGTTTGTAATATCTTCCAAGAATCGAGATTCTATAGTTTTCCTGACAACCTGTTTCAACATTTGATCATTCTCACTGTGTCTGCATTTTTTATACCTAACCAGAATTTTCCTTGTTGTAGTTTGACTGTTGCCTCTCGTCCTTCTGCTATGCACCTTTGAGAAAAGTCTGGCTCTGTCTTTATACCCATGCATTAAGGAGTTGAACACAACAGTTAGATCTGTTCTTAGGGGAGGTTTAGGTTGGATGTTAGGAAAAGGTTCTTCACCCGAAGTGTGATTGGGCACTGGAACAGGCTCCCCAGGGAAGTAGTCACAGCACCAAGACTGACAGAGTTCAAGGAGTGTTTTGACAACACTTTCAGGTAACGTGATGTGAGTCTTTGGGCTGTCCTGTTGGGACCAGGCATTGGGTTTTGATGACCCTTGTGAGTCCCTTCCAACTCTGGATATTCTATGATTCTGTGATAATTTGTGAGCCAGAGTCCATGCTTGATAATCTGGATGCTGTCTGGCTGAATTCCTTTGTTCCCTTGACAGTCAGAGTATTCAGTTCTAGAGCTTGAAACAGTGTTGTGGTTAACCCTGAGCATTTAACTTAAACTTTCTTTCTGGGTGTGCATCCAGAAGCATCAGTCTCAACAGTTCTGGACTCTCCATCTTGCTAAGATCCCCTGTGGCAGTAATACTTGCAAATCACTTTTCGGCGTTCTGAAATCCTGAACAGTTTTATGTGTGTTTAGGTTCCATTTGTTTAAATGATAATGAAATCTGAAGTACATGGTGTTGACATACATGGGAAGTGGAACAGGACACCACGGTATTACTAATGATAGTTATCCTTTCCTTCAAGTTGCATCCCATCTTACAGCTCTCTGTGAGAGGTAGATAGTATATGGAGACTAAATGGGGTATTAGGTATCTTAGTATGTGCTGTGGTATAGGTCAATTCGAACAGTACAATGGGGAAACTGGTACAGAGGAAATAATGAGATGTTATCTCTCTTCCGAGGTCCTGACTCTGGACAGCAGCTCAGGTTCTGTTACTAAACTTCAACTCCCCACTGAGCAGTTTCAGCTGAAGTGTCAGCTACAGCAAAAGCCTTGTAGTTGACTGGTTTCACATGATAGGTATAAGCTTATTGCAACCAGTATCTTTAATTACTCTTAAGCTTTTCCCATCTTCTGTGACTGTAGAGTTGGTGTGTTCGTGCAGCAAATGCTGTCCAAGCTCTCTTTGGAGGACAACATTCAAGGTGAGCAGAGATTGACAAGACATTAGGTGGGCTGTTCTGTATGGCCTCCAGATGGCACTAGTGGTCTTTAGCTTTAGCCATTTGGATTTTTCCCCATGCCCTGGATTTGCAGATTCGGTTGATGAGAGATAAGGAACCTGGAGCTACTGGATTATCGCTTCCTATTTAGCCTTTTTGCATTCCATTTGACTCCAAGTTGAGTGCTAGGAGAGACCCTTTTATTGCCTCACATGTAATGCTTTGGTTTAAAGCTAGGACAGAACTTAAGTTGTGCATGGAGAGAGAAATGTTTTAACCTTGGAGTGGAAGCTGTTCTTAATTCCTTGCTTAAGAAAAAAAACTTACAAATTACTTCTACTCTTAAACAGTGTAGCAGAGAATTGGGAGGTAATATCAGGGTCTGGAATCAAAGGTTGTATTGAAGCAATCTAAGGTGAAAATCACTAGCAGAACAAAAGAATCTAGTTTTGCAACCTCTGCTAGTGCATTTGGTGCACTATTGTGACTTCCATGTTTTGAGTTTGCTTTCTGAAGGCAGGTAGTCTCTGAAGTGCAGTAAGGGTGACCTTTTGGGTTGTTCTCTTAATTATTTCTTTTTTTTCATTTTTTCTTTGTCTGAAAGGTCATGTTCCCCTCCAGTGTTATGCTTTGCATAGAAGAACCTGACTGTTTCAGTAAAGTTGGTGACCTTATCAGAAAACAGTAAGATGTTGTCATCTTTAAAAGGAACAGACTTGGTATAACACACATTCGTGATGTTTAATTAGATACTTCATTAGGCTTAGTTTCTTTTCGCACAGCTAGACTTGTCGTGACACGATCTAGAGTAGAATTTGAGGCTCCAGAGCTGAGGAGAAGTAAGGGATTATGGATCCAGCATCTGTACCTTGTGTTTCACTTTCCGTGTGGAAGAGCGAGAAAAGTTTCCTCTGAAGGAGATGGGAAGGATATGTACCCAGACGTGTATTAAAATTCAGCTTCAGCTTTTGTTGTGGCACCAGCTGACTTAAGATCCTCCTGTTGGATTGAAAAATGTGTTGAACATTTTTCTAGTACATAATAAAAAGTAGACAAAGGGTGCAGCTGTTCAATTGGCAGATATTTAGTAACTTTCCACTTGAAAAGGACAAATATAATCTAAGTTGGTCGTCTGTGATTCACAACCTGGAGAATTGTAGCTGGGACCTTTGCATTGAAGGTATAGGTTTGGAAAATTAAATGGTCATGGCAAGCTTGGTCCAGGTTTGCCTGAAGGTGTAACTCAGTCATCTGATCATACATGCATCTAGGTAGTATTATTTATTTGAGACTTCCAAAACAGGTGAGATAATAAATATATTGCATACCTTTTGTGTCCTATTTTGAATAAGAGGTACATTGTTAGTAAACTGCAGTCTTAATTATAAACTTTGACATGCTTTTGAAGGTGACTTACCAAGGCCAGTTATCGGGGAGTCCAAAGGCAGCTCTTAGAGCCAGCTGCTGAACTGATGGATTATGCTGGTTTTTGGAGGGGCGTTCATGCAAGTAGAGAGTAACAAGCCTGACTTGTGCCTGAATTACAGCTGAAGAGAACATAGCGCCAGGAATAACTTGTGCTGTTTGTGAGCCTTCCCTGTTTTGCCAACTCTCTCTCCTGTCTAACATGCCTTCCTTCTGTGTACTTCCTTATGGGACAGAAAGGAGCTTGGTGGACCTGTCTTGCTTGGTACCTGCTGGCATAATGGGGGCTTGACACTTAGTGTGGGGAGTTTGTAGTGAGATGTCTCCTTGTTTTGAGGGGACTTTTCTATAATCTACTCTTTTTGCTAAACTACCTTGTTTAGGCAGCCCTATTTCTGAGCTTGAATAGCTGGAAGGGTCCTAGCCCAGCAGGAACTTCTCATTCAGATTTACACTGAATCTGAAAAATAGATTAGAGAGGGGAAAAAAAAAAAAAAAAAAGGAAAACTGAGCTGAAAACCAAATGTTCTTGCGAAGGGCCCAAGAAGCAGCAGACTGGGGAGTTTTTCCAGAGGAACACGAGAGTTCACTCTGGGGTTAGACAGCAGCTGCCACCAGCTGCCATGCTGCCACCTGAGCTCACACCACTCAGCCTTGTGGCACCCCTCCTTCGGTAGCCTGGCTTCCTAATTAACACTGCCCCTCTGGGATATTTGCCTTTTTTGTGCTGGATTCCTGTGACTTCCGAAGAATTCAGGTGTTCACTTTGAGCCAAGGAATTCACATTGGCTCACAGGCTGCACTTAGGCCAGAGCTGGCCAAGCAG